TATCAAACTCACTAAGTTGACGAAATCGTACAGGTCTCCGTACTCTAGGCATCGTAACCGATCGTAAAGGATGTCAAGAACCAAAATCTGCCAACGTTGATTCTTTACTGCGGCTGAAATATTCATTTTTAGAGCGTTAGTGAATTAAAAAAAAGCAGTATAAAAACCGGAATGTCCATAAGGCTGAAAATTTTTTCACTTGTTATTTACAGTAAGATAAATACATTCACCAACTTTTATTAAAATAAAACCATTTAAACTGGGTGTTCGGATTTATATGTCACTTAGTATATTAACTGAACCAGTTACGTTATATCTTCTAACAATATTTCTCACACTGTGTCGCGATAAGTCTAACAAAGTTGCAATTTCTGAGTTTGATTTCCCAGAATTAAAAATTTAATTTTAGCAGTAACCGAATTTTCTCACTAATAACCTTTCCTCTACCCATTTTGAAAACCTTAACTACCCAAAACTATTTTAAACGTAATCTGACAGCTGATTAATAAAAACAATTGTCATGGCTTTTATTTTTCACAGCCACCTATGCGTTTATAGACTTATTTTGCATTGAAATGAAAATAGGTTGATATGCTGTAATTGCAACATGTGTTATTTTTATGCTGCAAATTTGATTAGGGAGTGATAAAGTTGGTGTTTTCTACTATATATTATCAAAATATTCATTGTTAATATTTTAAACCTATAACACCCTGCTACATTTTTATTATTTGTGTTTGATAAGAAAAAAACTAAGATTTCAATAGTTGGGCAACTGAAGTGGGAAGGGGCTCGTAGATTCCCCCAAAAAATTGATGCAAAATTAGAACAATATCTAATCTAGCAATTTATCCATGAATGTATTGTGAAGAAATTGACGACAATTTTGATGTTTACACGCTCCAACTTCTTCAAGGTCAAGAAAGTATTCAATTTATTGGATTGTATAAGCGGCTATCATGTCCTGTTAGCGTTTAGCAAAATACAGTATTTTGAGTTCATAAAAATAGGACTACTTTCGTTTTTTCTACGGACTGTGGATTTTTTCATTTGCACAGTTCCAATGGCCTTTGTGTTGATTATTTGTGAATGGCAATACTGTTGCTCGCATGATCGCTTATCTTTATTCAAATTTTGCCGTAAAAGAATAGATCAAGGTTACCTTTACATATGATATACCGTAATTTTAATGATGAATTCTTCTACTTCCAGCCACCGGCACCATTACCTATCTGCGCGGAGTGTCTAGGGACCGAAGCGAACAACCCCCAAGGAGTTGCGGAACGTCTGAGCGCCTGTTCCCAGTGTGGAGCCTTAGTTCACCTATCTTGCGCCGCCCAACCGCCTCATGGGGGACAACCAACTGTCGATCTCACCGCCCTCGTAGCCAAGGGCTCAACATGGGTCTGTGAAGAGTGCAAATCCTGCGATGCATGCGGTGAGTATTTCTCAGGGTCTTTCTAACTTCACATTTAAAAAGGCTCTTTTATCTCACTTCCGCTACGGTCAAAGTCACCAACTACTAAAAAATAGTTACATCTTGATTCATTCATAAAATCAAAAATAAGCCTGAAAATGGCCGACTTTTGGGGACATATGATTTTCAAAGGTTTAGCTTGATGGCTACTCTCCCACTTAACCACGATATGAACGAAACATAACAAAAAGTTTACACACGCAACATAAAACAATTGCAGAATAGTTATGAAATTATACTATTTACAAGCATAGCAAGCCAGAAAGAAAAGAGTAGGATTAGAAACATAAACGATGAATAAGAATGAAATAATAACAAAACCATAACTGAAGCATTGAGAGATGTTGGCATCTCTAACAAATATTTTATAACCGATTTTTTAAAGGCAAGTAAACTTTTTCGTTTGTTGGACCTACTTAGTGGATTGTATAACTGGACGGCATTGTACGTAAACGATCTTTGATACAATGAAGTACGGTGACGGGGAATATCGAACTGGCCACAGGTGATACCTTGTGTTAATTTGTTTTATTTGGTACAATAAAACAGAATCATGTAACTTCGAATTCTCGTCTTGCTGTTCGTTCAGACATTGTGGTTACGAATGCCGATTTCATGAGTTAGTAGCATAAAAAATGTTTATTTTCATTCATTTGCGGATGTCAGATCAAACGGCTCTCATTTGAATAGGATTCTCAGCATCTCGGTAAAAAAAGAAAAACGTCAACCATACAAGCACTACTATATGTTGCACAACAAAGATGTAGCGCGGCGAAGCGGCAGCCGCCTAATCGTTTCAATAGCTATTGGTCATTCGACCATAAAACTACGAAGAAGTGCAGGATTCGACAGGATAGAACTAGAGATATTCTCTACAGACAGTACAGCAATGAGGTAACGACTACCATGGAGCCTTACCCATCACCAACCGGCATCCTTATTACGCCATTCCTACTATGTACCATCTATCGTTCATTCTCTGTGTGTGTGTTGCCTATGTCGGTGTGATGTGTTTGACATCTATGTAACATCTGCTTCAGAGATGGTTCTTGCGGATGCCATTCATAGCTTCTGTGCCCTAAGCTGTATGTTCTATACTACAGCCAGAAGTACATACCCAGTGCTATTTCTTCACGGCGAGTAGGAGTGGCGTGGGCTACCCGACTAGCTAGCACCTAGTGCGAATTATGGCGATATCGCTTTTATAGTGATTAATTTACATAATACGGATGTGGTTTTGTTAACCGGACACGTGATTCGCTGTTTTGTATCTTTAGAGGAAGAGTTTTATTGGTTCACCCTTTCATCGAGACATTCAAATAACCTTTTTTTCGTCCTTGGCATAGTAGGAACCTTCTGTCAAAATTTAATCAGATTCCGAGCGGCACTATCCAAGATATAGAGGGGCGGACACAAAGAGAGACCTACGACAATGAGTGATGTGGCTTTCCGTGATACACATGTCACGTAATACCAAAAAATCTATCATTTTTTTAAATTTTTAGCGACTTCAATACTTCCTCGAAAATTGACGTGGGAAGTAAAATGAAGATAAGTTGCATCACCTTTGAAAAATGCGTGTAAATATAGTATTATATTTCAGCTGTAAAAATGCAATTCTGTTTAGATAGACAAAGCTCAAGGTACTTCATGATTTACTTTCAAATATAGGTGCAAATGTGATCGGTGATGCCTCCATGTGCCTGCTGATCTGCGCCGGCAGCTGTGCGCGCAACTTCCACCTGACCTGCCTGGACCCGCCTGTGGACAGGAAGCCGAAGAAGCCGTGGCGGTGTCGGACGTGCTGCCTCCAGGAGGCGGCGCTAGCACCAGTGGCTGCGAAGGGGAAAGACAAAGAGGCGACGAGAGGCAAACAGGTGGGAGGACAGAAAGAGTTGGTGAAGGATACTGCAGATATGGTGGCGGGGGCAGCTTCAGGCGGTGCCACGCCGAACGGAGTCAGGCGGAAAGCACAGTCCGCCTCCACAACCGAGAAGAAGACGACGGTGCCCGGGGAGAAGACTCCGGTTAGAGGGAAAAGGGCAGGGTAAGTGGTTAAGAAAGGACCTGTATTATGTAACGGACTCTTTCAGCCTAATTTTCACTAATTTCAAGATTAACTTGAAAATTTGGACTCAAGGGCCGATGACAATACAATAATCTTGTAAAAAATTGAATGAAGTGAATTAGAAAGTTTTAAATAATTTCAAATTTTAAAAATAATTTGATTTGAATTTTTTTTTAAAGAATTTGGAAGTAGATTTAGATTTATTGACAAATATACGATATATCAAAAATCGAAGCTCTTGATTATAACTACTTTTGTTGGCGTTTTGAGACTACAAATTCAGAAAATATATTGTAGTTTGAAAAAACTAAAAAAAAAAAAAATGCAAGTAGAAAATAATTTTCAAGTATATGAGAACTTGTGTTATTATATACTTGACTAGAAAGTTCAATCAAGTATGACTAATTAATTTTTAATAAGATCAATATAGAATTTAAGATATTAATTAACAAAAATTTATATAGTAAAAAGAGTGGGGTGCAATTCACTACGTTTTGAGAATAACTCCAATTTTGTAAATGTCAACTAAAAAAAATAATCATAACATTTAATATCAAACACTCCACTCTTTTTTACTATAGTTAAACTTTTTGTTAATATCCTAATTTTTATATTGATCTTATTAGAAATTAGTTAATTGTTTGCTATTAAAATGTGTTTTTTTGTTTTTGAAACTTTATTTCGTTACAAAGATGTTATGATAAATGCCTCTAAGTCTGTGGGCATAACGGCGCACCGCACTTAGTACCGTACCATAGCATCCCTGTGCTAAGCAAATATCAGCGTAGAGTTAAATGCGCATGGCCATAACACATGGCCTCGCTCCATAGCATCGCACACTACGTTTTCGCTGATCATGAACAAGAACATATGACATTTCCGGCAACCAACAAGGTCAGGTTTTCTCACAGCAAATTGATTTTCAATCTGCTAGTAACCTCGAATCCGGGGTGGCTATCACTCAAGGCCAGTTCTAACGAAAATGTGCACCTAACAGACCTCCAAACATATAGAAACTAATACATATCTTGTATTCTTAGTATGTGTTTTCCCTAATAAATGTTTTTACTTACCGCACAGTTAGCATCAGTCTTTCCTCAATTGTTATAAGTTGAGAATGGCAGTTCTTCCAAGAAATATCTAATTTGTCGCCAATTTTCTTTATAATATAATCGAATGTATGAATGCTCATTCGCATATACTTTTTTAAGGTCATTGAAAAGGTGCTGGAATTCACTAAATTGACTTTCGTATTTTATTCAAAGGGTGCACTATCTCCTTTTTTCTATTTTTAGTAAAGTACCACTTTCTTAAACCAGAATTAAGCAAGATATCATCTTCATCTGAGGACGATGAAGACGAACTCATGTTTGGATTTTTATTGCTCAGTAATTGAAAATGAAATAAGTACTAGGTGCGGTACGCCACTATGGACACCGGGCGGCTATGGTATGTGCGGGGCAGGGTATGGTATAATATACACTAAGTGCGGTGCGTCATTATAGACATACCTTAAGGTTGAGACACAATGCAGACGATAAGCTTCGTTTCAGGATAAGACCTTGGGTGCTGAGGTGGAATGCCAGGGATATTAATAGGCTACATAAGATTCTAGGTGGCGAGGTGAACTACTATAAAAATAATCTTTTGCAGATAATTTGCAAGTGATTAAAATAACCTGACAATTATTTTAGCATTAGAGCTCACTTGTTGACATTCCGCTTACTACCTGCCATGCGACAACAGTCTAATAGTTGTAGCACAGCAATGGAGTGAAGAACTCCTTGGGCTATGCTTCTCTCACCTCATTATAGCGCTGCTTTTACAAAACTGTGGGCTCTCTGTTTCTCTCTCTATTAAAGTTTTAATTTATACCACTTTTCACATATGTCTAGGCTAGGGGGTACAAATTTCAGATCCCTGATGAGGGATTCCATGAATATCATTTATCATAATTTTTTGTTTTTTGTTAATGTGACACCTAAAACTTGCTGATAAGCTTCCATGTTTGTCTGGTAGCTAAATGAAACTACATATGTTTGAAATATTGTACACATGTAGTTTCATTTAGCGGCCAGACAAACATGGAGGCTAATTTTTTGTGTTTAGAGTAATTATTCTTTGCTAACATGTCTTAACGCAATTGATCTCTCAGGATCAAAGAACCGACGACGCCTCTTACACCTGTCCCAATGCCTGGTACACCAACAGCAGGGACGAATCCTACTGTGGCAGCGACGCCAGTGGTGGCGACACCAGTCGTAACACCTCAGTCTGCAGCTAAGACTACGCCACATCAGCGCAAGAGTGCCAGAACTGCCACTACCCCAGCGGCGCCACCAACGGAACCACCCACACCGGAAGCTGCCGCCCGCCTTCTAGTCGGTACGACATCACAAGACAAAACCACCGCCTCCCCCCAATCCCAAACCGATCCTAATCCCACCACCGAGCGGGTAGAGTCTCACGACAAGATGTCGAAAGAGAAACGTAAGTTTTTCAAGGGGTCCGTCTTCAATGCTGGCAAGAAGAAAGTAGAGACGGCAACGAAAAGGCGAACGAGGAAATCCCAGGAACCGGTCCCAAAGAAACAAACCGTCGGCGTTGCGAAGAGAAATGGCAAAATAGCTTCGCCTAACACCCCCAAAGTTCAAACACGTACGACGGTAAAAAAACAACCTCCTAAAGGGGAAGATAAGCAGGAAGATGATGAAAGTTCATCAGAGGAAAACTCTTCTAGCAGTTCTTGTTCGTCTGAGTCAGACTCGGATTCTTCCGTGGACAATTCGGACTCGCGGACCAACATGAGGAACATTCGCATCCCGCCTATTTTCAGCGCGACTAGCGTGGAAAAGAAAGAGACATTTGGTAGTATTAGTGGGATAGAAGTAGACAAAGACAAGCCGTGGGGGTTTGCCGCAGCAGCTGCCGTAGCTGGTAAGAAAGAGGAACCGGCTGAAAACCTCTTCATCGTTGCCATGAAGGAGGAGGGGTTGCTAAAAGAGGATAAGACCGAAACACCGAAAGAGAAGGCTTCCAAGTTCGCCTCGGGAATCGGACAGTTAAAAGGGTTATTCGACGGTCTGTCTCACTTCTTCACAGCGCCTTCGGAGAGTCGCGCCAGTAGATCTACACCCAATTACAATCCGAATCGGCGCAAGTCGAAAAAGGATGATGCCAAATCCGAAGAAACAAAAGAAGAAGACACTCCCGCTCCCGAAGAGACCGTTAAGCCCGCACCTGCTCCTCCTACCGTTCCCGAAGAACCTAAATCCGTCACTACCGAATTGAGCCCATCTAACTTGGTGAAGACGGCAGTCAGTTCAAAACAACACGAGAAAAAGAAGCAGATAAAGTCTGAGGCGGCTGCGACTCCCAGCGCATGTGTCGAGAAGACGCTCCCCCTCGTGACTGAGAGCACTGCCCCCGCTAAAAAGCGGGGTACAGTTTCTTCAACCATGCCACCTCCACCTCCGCCTGTACAACCATTTTACAACAATCAGATGGGTAAGATCAGATGCCAGTAAATATACGCAAATAATATCTCACATCGCTCATCACGGCTATGACCCTTTGCAGGATGGTTCTTGGTTCTTGTTTACGTTAATATACACATACAACTTTTGACACACTTCAGCCAGCTAGCAGTGATCTGTGGTTACAACTTATCTAAGGCCTTTTACATAATGTCTCAAGCTTCTGTTGTAGACGGCTTGTTTGATGCTTGATCGAATATCGGAACTAAACGCGCAATAACTTCCCTTCTGTCGGTATGCTGCCAGCCGAAGTAAAAATACTATACATACATACATACTACTACGTGCTCTTAATAATGTCAAAATAGTAAGTTACACGAACCACAGTTGATGTAATAATTAACCTATAGTGTTACTCAATGTACACCACAAAACTAATATTAATATACGAATGCTGATAAGATGGGGCACTATTAGGAAGTTTCCCATAGTCATAAATACTGTTAGTTTCACTTTCATATAATAGCACTCGTATATGCTGGTATCTTTCACAAATCTGAAATAATTATTCCGATAGCTTGAAATTTAAGGCAGCTGTGACATTTTTTGTGTTGGGTGCTATACCCGAACGCCGTCGCGCGTCGAGGTTAGGTCGTGAGGTCACATTACACAAGTTCGGCTTCTGAGCCTCGGTACTGACGCGTCCGGACGACGTGATGGCGCTTACATATCGCATTCGGCCTTGGCGCGCAAGCTGGCTAGTCGCAATATATTGTTGTATTGTTGTACCAATTCCACTAATCTTCCAAAGGTGGACATAATAATTGTTATTGGTTAAATATACTATGTGAAACATTAAAGCTTTGGCACGCATTAAGATTTATAATTAAGCTCACATGCGATCGACGGTTCAAAAGTCATAATCGTCAAAGGGAGAAAGATTCAACTAAATTACAAAAAAAATAATTTTACGTTTTCTAGGTCGCTGATAACGAACATATATATTTGTCTTAGATCAATTTTGTGGATTTAATATGGTGTACATCTTTGCAAAAAAATGATTTTAATGAGCTCAAATGGATTCAGGGTCGCCAATGAAGAATTTATATCGATAAATCATAAATCGAATTAGCAGTTCTAATATGGCAGCTACGTTTGCAAATAATGTTTTGATCGCGCTCAAAATTAATTTTCACGGGTTTTCAATAACGAACTAAATATAGATTCCTATTGATTGTGCTGAATTTACAGTTTTATATGTTTTCAGGATATAATTTATGTTTTATAATTGTTTAATTTTATTGCCAAATTTGCAGTCAGTTACAGCCAAAATTGAGATATTTCTTAAGTGCTACTACTCGATTCTAATGGACTTTTTAAATTCACCAATTCACTATGAAGGATCGCTTTATGGTGGCGGTGGTAGCTGGTGTAATGTGACGTCATCACTCAGCAAGATAAGTATCCAAATAAGAAACTACTGGGTAGGGTAACATTGTCATTTTTTAAGATATCAAAAAACAAGTTTTCAATTATGTACTTCGCTGTACTTAGACTATAATTTTAAGTGTGTTTCAATAAATAGTAAACATGCTACACTGTTGCCGATAGTGTATATTGGACCATTGTGATGTAAAGAAGCGGCATCACAACATACTCAAATTCAATCAAAATTTGTGTTCTACAATTAAAAGCCCTACTCGGCATTACTAGACTAATAAAATTGTTCTATTAAATATCTGAATATTAGTGAAGAAGGATCATCCTGCATTACTAAACTGCTTATATAATGGTACACTTGCACCGTTAAAAGTATTTTACACCACAGACTTGGATTACAAGCGTCAGTACCAGACTGATATTTTTTTATCAAAAGCAACATGTCTGTGTGTGAATTACTTTAAAAATTGCTTGACACCTTACCCATACAACACAACACGCTTATAAACAAGTATCATTACCCAATTTGGTTACTTTTCAGATCTTGATCAAAATTATTGCATGCCTTATAGTTCTTTTACGCATGTTTAATTCCTACATCATGTGATTAATAATTAATATTATATTAATTTTTGTATATCATTGCACACTATTTTGTAACATTATTCGAGACGACTCGGTATTACCACAGTATAGGGCCAGTAGAATCACTCTGGCTGGTATTTGTTAGACGAGTGGATTTCACGCACACGCAGACCAGCACAGGTTCTAGCACATATAGCACCGATATAACCCGAGCTGTCGATGCGCTTCAACCAGAAGCAGCAAGACACACAGTAGTTCAGAGACAGACTGTTTTCGGTGCTGTTAGCTGCGTTGACCTGTGCATTGTTCATAGTTCAAATGCTTGATTACATCATGAATCAAACAGGTTCTGCATGTGGATTACTGTTTGGAGTCTGAACGACTCCAGCAAAAAATCTACAAGGTCCTTTATTCCTATAGCTCGGAAGTTACTGCTCGGATTCCAATACAATTTTGACACAAAGGTATTGCTTTGTCTGAACACCTTAAATACTTTAACCACTGGTGGTCGAATGTTTTCGGAGTTGTTGGTTATTTTTTGACTTGTGCAAAATTTCACGGTGGGTAATACCTTAAAAACGAGAACAAACATTTGTTAATTGACGTTTTTTTCCTTTCTGGTTATTTCGGGTCAGTAGAAATATAGGTTGTTCAAATATTCTGAAACCAGGCCTGCGTTATATGGTTGCATATATCAACGTTTAGTCAGTTTCAGTTCTCGTATGATTCTAGAAAAAAGAAAATGTAATTTCGTTTCAAAATTGTGAGTCTATAAACAAAAAATTGCTTGCATTTCCGTCAATGTTTGCCGTTATCAAAGCTCATGTGGCGTTAGCGAAACCCTCATAGATCGACCACCAAGGCACAGAATAATTCATCTCTCCAGTTTATGCATTGACTAAAAACAAACTACAAGGCTATTTTTCAATAAATCGTAGACCCCGCCGAGACTATTGGTCTTCACTGTGTCATCGAAGCGAGAATAGGATATTTAATCCTAACTGAAGCAGCAAGATACTCGTTTTCATTGTTTCACCGATTGCCACAGTCACCAACGCGATAGATACGGTTACTCTGCTGTACAACTTATTTATATAGGATTTCATTATTTTTTGTCGGCACCGGTTTTTTCTCCCCTATTAGACTATCCTGAAGTAAGTCATTAGACTAATAAATTGATACGTATGTATTTTTGTGAAAATACATCAACACAATTCAGACAAAATGTCGAGAGGCTTGCATAGTAATATATATATAGTATAGTATAATCTTGTTGAAGTATTGTGCCTCATGCATTGTACAAATTACTTAACTTTCAGCCGTTTGCGAGTCGATCGTTTTACAAAATTATTCGTTTATCTATCAGATACAATCAAATAGTCACCCATAAAAATTAATCGGATCTTACCTTGCAATGAGCAGCGCTGTTCTGGTCTACTATAAATGGTTGTTCGGGACTATCAGATATTCATTGTTGAAAAAAACCGATAAGTCCTTACCTGTAAGGTGTACGCGTCGATTTATCGCCTCTTGCCGCTGCAACGGCGGTGCGCGTAACCTTTCGCAGTCGATCGCTTATCTGGCGGCGTCTGAAAATTACCCTGGGTAATTTGCCTGAGTGTAGCTTCTGGTTTACTTATTCTGTGGTATTACTATAATTTAAGTGATGGGACAGACAGTTCGTGGTTGTTTGATTATACATAACACTTTATTTTCTTGAACGCTGGTTCGACCAATGGAAATGAGCAAAAGCACTTCTGAGAAACCTTCAATTCCAAATACAAATTCAATACATCATTTGCAGGTCTGAGGCATACCATAGATGTTGGTCTAGTTCTTGCGCAATCCACAACTTGAATATTTTGTGTGTTGCTGTGCAGACTTGACAAAATTATATTGTCTATGTTAGTTAACAATGAATTATTCATATTTATATTTCACAATAATGATCAATCAACCCCAACTAAATCATGTGGTACTACCGAGTAAGCAAAAAATTCATTGTAGAGCAACGTTAATCACAAGATCTGATTCAACCTGAGATTATCTATCTGATTGTCAAAATTGGCTTGTCGCTACTAACCTGCTTTATTAATATTTGCTAAAAAGATGGCACCTCTTTTTCAGATGCATCAGTTGGTAGGTACTGTCCTAATGCATGGGAGATGATGGTATTAAGTACATTTACTAATTTATATTTCTTTGCATATATTTATCCATGGTCTCAAATGGAAGTCCGAAATAAAACTTTTGTAACTGTAACTGGTTTACTTTTAATGGAATATTATATGTCAGGTTGCACATAAAGCTGTTTTGCCTGGTTGTTCTAGCAAAACAAAATAGCTATTCAGTGGACTTGACAGTGGATCGATGAATGTAAATCAGTCAAAGTAGTATTGTCTAAGAGCCCATGACACAAAACCATAGAGGATCTTTAGAAGAAAGGTTTCCCAGTCCCAGGTGTAATGGGTGCACGTGCACCAAGGAAATGAAGCGGTTGGCGGGTTGGGGTTCCCAGGGGTAGACTGGTGGGTCAATATAAACCCAATAAAAAAAAGGTCCTGTCGCTCATCTGTTGATGTCGTCTGTCACCAAACGAACTTTTGTGCTAAATTTAGTACGCTAAATTTCGTACAAAATTAAGGATAGTATCAGATAGCATTTAGTACATAATTTTGTATAAACAAGTTGAGCGCTAAATTTTTTAGAACCTGTTCTAAATAATATCATGCTGAAAGTGAGCAGACGCCTACTGCGCATTTGGAGAAGTACAATGGCTGATAGAAACGCTACGTGACAAGAAATTACATGTTTTGTGTTAACTCTTTGATATGCACTTGATATTTTGTGATTATTGGATGAGGTGATAATTGATTGACGAAAACAAGCCTAACCTCAAGCACTTTCATCAGTTGTCTTCATCAGATTCGCGAAACTCCCCTGCTTATGCTGTATGCTATTCTACTTGCAGCTTGAAAAACTTGAAGGATGTCATGGTCAAAAGAGCAGTGTGACATACTACTATACGAGTATGAGAAACATGATTGTTTACATGCTGTAAAAAGCAAGGCCTACAAAAACAGAAACGCCAAATAAGCTGCGTTGGATAAAATCAATAACTTTAGAATCAATTAGCCAGCGGATCCTCCACTAGAGGTACTTTATTCAGTATCTGGAGCACGCTCATTCCCTGGTCCCTTTCCCTGACCCATTTTCGACATCAAATTCTTTTACGGTTTCGTTTACTTCGTTTTTTCATGAGGTGAGCAGCTACAACGCAGATTGCTGGGGCTGCAGTAGCAAATATTTGAAAATTATGGGATCGCTCCATTTTGTACAATTTTGCATCCATTTGAAGTAATAAAGTAGTAAGCCGCAACGAAAAGTGTGGTTAGTATGACTTTGACGTGATAAATGGCAGTTCGAAGTTGACAATTATAGTTTTTTTCTACCGACTGCGCATGATTTCGTACGAAATTTATTATAAAAATTTTTTATTCTTTTTTTTTTCTAATATGTGGGCACGAATCCCCTAGGGTTTTGTGTGATGGACTCTTAGTATATGTATCAGTAAGGATCAGGAACGATATTCTCGTGCTCCGAAACATCAGCGTGTTTTAATCCCGGAGTGTGCATGATCTCATTTGCATTGTTTTGAATGCGTTAGAGATGTTATGTTTGCTTAGCGACTTTAAATCGCCATGTGTTTCATGGAACGAGATTACCGTTTGATATGATAGATACTTGCGTCATACATCTCGTTGACGTCTTATATTTCACTTTCCTGGACATACTCTGAAATCATGTAACGGCCAACTAAATGTACTACTCCTCCGGTTTTCAGTAATTCAGATTATTTTTAGGTGAATTTAAGATACCTACTCAACTACCGCCAGGGGTGAACCAAAAGGACGTGGAATTATTCAAGGAAGCCAGGGAGAAGGCGGCCGCTGCAACTGCAGCCTTAACTCATGTTCCTGTTCCGGAACACGTTCCTGTTTCTCCTTCCCAGTTAATGGCTGTTCAAGGTCGCTGTCCGGCAGCAATTGAGTTTGGAAAGTACGAGATTGACACTTGGTACTCCAGCCCTTTTCCTCAGGTACATATTTAGGACATATTTTTTTGTTAATGCAACATCTGAAACTTATCCTGTGGTTTCCATGACCATAATCTCCCATGTTTGTGTGGCCAATTACCACATATTTGAAATTCTTCTTTAATATAGTAAAGTCACAACGCTGACCTTCTTCTGTACATGACACTTTTGACAACAAAATATTGTTTATAACTGTGCGGTAACCCAAACATGCGTTTTTTAACAGGTTGACTGCCATGAAAAATCATAGTAAATGTCTCTGGTGCCAAATTAAAAAAAGTGAGGCTCCTTGCATCTGATGCTATACTAAGTAATTACTTTTATTTATATTTTTTTTATGAGCATACATATTGGCAAAAATAAGCCAGCGGTCGTTTACGCCCGCCGCGGCATAATTGACATTATCATTCCCTTAGTGCCAAGGGGTCGACCTAGCGGCCATCTTTTGCGAGTTTGAGCTTGTGAACTTTGGGTCAGAAACATGAAATAAAAATGCTTTGCAATTAGGTTAGTTTGCTTTTGTCAATCGTAGCGTTCAGTGGAATTCGAAAATAACGGGAGAAACTGGTATTATCACGACTGAATTACGATAACATCAATCTACCGGAAACCCGACCACAGCAGACCTCAATAGCCTCAAAAAGACATAATTCTATATCGAAGAAAATAGGCGCCTTCGATAGAGTGAAAGAATACTGCAGAGGTTGATATTCTAAAAAAGTGCTAGGGGAAATTCCAAAAAGCAGGGTGAAAAAAGTCGTTACCTAAGGTGCATCATGCGAAGGGGAACCTCACTTTTGTTTAGACTGTTTCAACCTACACTTATTAAAATAATATTCAGTCCCCTTATGTAAATCGAGATATTCAGAAGCCTTGTTTTGTACCCCGAAAACCGCTAACTTAAGCTAGGCGTGCATGCCACAGCGGTCTTTTGTCATAATAATTATATGTCTATCATCGCTGGCACAGCATAAATTAAATTTTGAAGGCAAGTATGGAGCAGTAGCATACGACCGCCATGGCATGGTAGGATTATTTGCAGGTGGTCGTATGCGACCGCCATGGCGTTCAAACTGTTGAATGGAAAGCATTACATTTTATTCCAGATTTGGATAGACCCGTTCAAACAGAGCAATTTGATATAACATACTATAGAGATAGAGTTTTATTGGGGGCGCTCCGCGTTCTGTGGAATCGTGGTGCAGGGTAGTCGATATTTCTGTTAATGCTGGAAATACCGAGCTGATCCTATTCACTAGGAGAAGAAGGCTTGACGGGCTGGTCTTGCCGACCTTCTTTGGGATCAGATTAGTGCTACACCAATCAGTAAAATAAATATCTGGGAATTATCCTGGATTGCACCTGGACTGGAGAGAGCATGTTGAATACAAGGTTAACAACGCTCGCAATTCAATGTGGGCCTGTAGACGTGATGTCGGTGTAAGGAGGGGGCTTAAACTCAAAGTGATATACTCGCTCTACACGACGATAGTACGTCCATGTAGACCATTGAGAGCAATGGAAACTCTGTTGGATCTCCCACCGTTGGATCTGGTGATCCGCAGTGAAGCGAGAGTAGTCGCTCATCGACTGTGGAGTCAGGGCAGCTGGGCCTTCTTGAATCCTATCAAGGAGCATACTGCCATCTTAGTCGAATGGCAAAGGGAGGATCGTATTAACCCTAAATATCGCTTCAACCGAAAAGTTTAATGTGGAGTATCCAACGAGGAACGAGTGGGACGCCGGTAGCCGGAGACTCTCCGGAATGAGCGGGCAGGTCTGGTACACGGGCGGCTTGGTCACCGAAGACGGCTCAGGCGCTGGTGTCTCTAGGCCTAGAACTAGGTAATCTCTGCCTCTCGGTGGATACACCACTATTTTCCAGGCGGAAATCTTTGCGATTCTGGCTGGTGTATCTCGCATTCTGGAGGAGGGCGGGCCTAGGAGAAGAATAACAAGCTTATCCGACAGCCAGGCTACAATGAAGGCACTAAGTGCCTGTAAGGTTACTTCGAGTCTTGTGTTGCAATGCAGGGACGCTCTGGATTGCCTCACAGCGAGGCATCCGGTATCGTTAATGTGGGTACCGGGGCACGCTGTGATAAGGAGCAATGAGACGGCGGACGCTCTGGCGAAGGCAGGATCAGTAAGCAAGCTCGTTGGTCCTGAGCCAGGTTTAGGAGTGCCCGCGCATAGAGTTAGGACGAAAATGGAGACGTGGATTGCAAGCCAACACTCTCAGAAATAGAGAAGTATCTCCAGGCATCTGAGCCAGGCAAGGGAACTCATTGAAGGGCCCCATGCTAAGGATGGACATTTCTGCTTATCTCTGGATAGAGCCAACCTAATGTTGTTGGTGGGACTATTGTCTGATCATAACACGTTAAGGCGCCACCTGCACGTGATGGGGGTGGCTGAGGATCACTTGTGTGAGCGCTGCGGGGTAGAGGAAGAGACCTCGGCGCACGTTTTGTGTCACTGCAAAGCTTTGTACTACTATAGGCAGACTATACTGGGGTCCATTACTTTGGACCCTCAGGACGTCAAGGAGCTTGGACTTAAGGTGATTCTCAACTTCGCTAAAATGACGAGGCTTGTGATCTGAGGAATGTAGAGGTGCATAAGGGCCCGTTTAAGCGGCCTATGCACTGGCTCCTTATGGTGGCCGGAATGCCTCTAATTTCAAGATTCACTCATTCATAGAGTTTTATAATCGAATTGTTGATATATTGGACAATCTATCGATCAAAACACTGATTTTTGACGACACGCATCTCCACAACTGTTATAGCTTATAGAGTATTCAATTTTTCGTAAAAATTTATGATGCCATATTTTGTTCCTATCCAATTTTTCAGTTTTATGAAAAGTTTATGCAGGGTGGTCAAGAACGCAAAATAGAAGGTTTCTCGAAAACTTTAAACACCCTGTGCATTTTCACATTTCTCGATTCCTCTTTCCACAAGCTTTTCTTGATATAAGGCTTTTGGGGTTTTGAACGACCGGTTTTTTGGTTACAGCTAACCTTTTTGTAAATATTACAATAACTTTCAAACTAAAAAATTGCATTTAGTTGGTAAAGGTAGATCGTTAAGATTGGCATGTATCCATATATAATTAAATTTCACTAGCCTCATGCAGTCAAAAGGTGTCCTTACGTTTTTAGCAACTCAAAAACCCGCCATACAAATCCCAATAAACCTTATATCACAAAAAAGCTTATGAAAATGGAAATCAAAAAGTGTGAAAATATACAGGGTATTCCGTTTGAAAATTTTGTGTAATATATATACGTAGTTAATTTTGGCTTCTTGACCTCCCTATATAAACTATCCAAAAACTTAAAAGCAAGTAGATAGGGGCAAAATATGGGATTATGAAATTTATTCAACATGAAATTCAATACTCTAGCTATAACAGTTGCGAAAATATCAATGAAATGTAGGGCTCTCTATTTAAAAAATGTGATGTTCAAGTCACCACGTAGTGATGAATTACTCTGTAGAAATAGAAATATTTTCCCAGCCGAGAGAATACTGTTGACTACAATTTTTGTATTTAATTTTTTTTTATATAAAATGCCTAACAACGGAATTACCGACCGTGCCGACACTAAAAACTCACCCTGTATGGCATGAGTTTGTGCATTATGAGCCGCCGTATTGTTACGTAATTGAATAGAAATTGTTTACACTACTTTGCTAAGACGATTAATGATTCTGACATCGCATTTTTCTCAGGAATACGCACGACTACCGAAGCTATTCCTCTGCGAGTTCTGCCTGAAATATACGAAGAGTAAAGCTGTACTGGAGCGGCACCAAGATAAGTGCACTTGGAGGCATCCACCTGCTACAGAAATATATCGCTGCAAGGACCTTTCTGTCTTTGAAGTCGATGGTAACGTGAACAAGATCTACTGCCAGAATCTTTGCTTGCTGGCCAAGTTGTTTCTGGATCACAAGACCCTCTACTATGACGTGGAACCGTTCCTGTTCTACGTGCTGACCAAGAATGACAAGAAAGGGTGCCATCTTGTAGGGTATTTTTCCAAAGAGAAGCATTGCGTGCAAAAGTACAACGTATCGTGTATCATGACGATGCCTCAGTACCAGCGGCAAGGTTACGGCAGGTTCCTCATTGAATTCAGTAAGTAATATGCCTTTGAAGGGTACTTCGCGTCAGTGCCGTTTTGTTGTTTTTAATTGGGTCTTTTAACCTTGTTCTATCAATTCAATATTAGCGTAATTTCATGGTAATGTCAACCCTGTATTCAAAAACTGGAGCTTATCTTACATGGTTATTTGTGTCCGAGTTTTACCCTTCAACACATCTCACCAAACCAGTGTCTTTGTCCAGATGGATTTCCGTATCTTGACTTATACTGGTCTGGAAAACGCATTTCACATAGGGCGCCCTATTAGAAAATTGCTAGGGCTTGTAGTCAATATTTTCCTTATAATCCATCAAATGTCACCGTATTATCTAGAAATGATCTGATGATTCTTATTTGATAATGATATTATGAAATTGGATGCTTTATGGGGCTTCGAAACATGCATTTAGTATCATGTCTCTGAAATGGGGTGGATCTGATTCTTTCAACTTTGGATCCAAATCCTATGCGTTATAAGTAGTAATTAATGTTTTTTTCTAAGTTAACAGTTTTTGCTCCAACCCAGCGCGTCATGGTTCGACATTTTCAAATCTAGCGTGAACGGTTACTGAAAATTAGTTGCAACCTAACTAACAGCGGCCGTTTGAAGCAGCTGCATACAGTCATATGATGCCATCATTGGTAACTGAGTTGAGATACACTTGAATCCAAATAATTTATACTTGAACGATGGCTTACTCACTTCCAATCTGTAGATAAGCTAAAAAAAACTACAGTGATACAGCTATTGGTACAGTAACATTTTGCGTGACTCCTATAAACATTTCATACTTCGTTTTGTATTAAGTATCACCTCCCAACCAGCTACAAAATACTTAAAATATGTATTCTTCAGTCAGTCCGTGGCATACAGGTTTTTTGCCAATAACTAGCTTTTATTTAATTTAATTTGAATATAAAAAGTTTCTGTTTGTATCATTTTGAAGAATTCTCAATTAGACAGGACATTTTACAGAACTTCCCTTCTATTCAGAGTATTATGTGAATAATCATAACAGTAAGTTTTAGATTTCCAATTTTTGTCAGTCCGTGACGTCTACTTTCACAAATCGTCACACTAAGAAATCCAATTGAATGTTGCGATTCCTCAAAACTAGATGTGAAAAATGGGCTAAAAGTTATTGCTGTACCTCTTGCTATTCTTAATCAGCATAACAGAAAATGTTGAAAAATGGCGCGAGACCGGTCAGTACGTGAGGCGTGAAATTGCTGGTTATTATTACATGACTAGATTATGAGTATTCTGATTGGATGTTTTTTTTTCAGGTTATTTACTTTCCAAAGAAGAAGGCCAGCCTGGAACTCCAGAGAAGCCTCTTTCAGATCTAGGCAGGGTATCGTATTATGCGTACTGGAAGTCCATCGTTTTAGAATATTTGCACAGCCACAGAGAGGAAAAGTTGAAGTTGACAGACGTTAGCAAGGAAACTGGCATGTACTGTCATGACATAGCCTTGGCTTTGCAGCTGTTAGGATTCATAAAATACATTCAGACAGGTAAAATATAACTCGATGATTCAAGTTAATTACCCAGAACATTTTTCGTCTTGAGCTTGGAGCTATGAGTATTCGAATCTTGGAGATTTTAAGAATAGCTAAAACCTTCCGAAGTTCTTATAGACCAGGCGCTGGATGGAACTGAGTTTGCAAAATGCGAGAACTGAACTTTATGAACAGGTATCAACTGAAAAGAGGTCAAAGAATAATAATCTGGATCTTGCCAGATCACTTTTTCATCCATTTTTTTATTCCCTTCCTTCTTAGGAAACTGCATTTTTTCGCTCTGACCATTTTTTTCTGATTTATCGGATCACTCTGAACAAAAAAGGTTCTCAGTGACTTTTCGAGCTGTAAGCCATTTAATGACTGAAAACCCCTAAAAATGATCAAAAACTCGGTTAAAAATAATCAGTTTTGAGGTTTCCAAGTATCTAAATTAAAGCTAAAACCTTCCCAGACAAGATTAATTTATTTTGCAGCGATTTTTAAGCTAGTTTGATATGTCAAAATTGGCGAGTTTTTGATATTCGCAGACTGTACATACCACCTTCATCAAATTTAAACTGAAACCAATGTTATGTTATAGCAGAGTGTAACTGTTTTTTAATATACAGGTCGTCCCGAAAGTCATGGATAGGTAGTAGTGATAGGGGGTCATTTCCAATCGAAAATCCATGGATGTTCAATTACGCACGGTTTTTCAGTTATCGCCATTTTGAAGAACTTGTAGAAAATCGCTAATAATAACAAAAAAGCCTTAGAAATAAAATAAAAGATAATTTAAGAAAAAGAACCAGAGTCACAAAAGTAGCGATTTTCAAAAAATTCTCTAAAATGGTGAAAACTCTAAAAATCGTGCGTAATTGAATAACGGCATACAGTAGCGGACAAAAGTTTGGAAACCAATATTAACATTATTATGAACGATTTCATATACCTAAATTAAAATCATGAATGAAGAGATAATATAAATATTGAAGTCTACCTTTGACTCCCGTACAAGATTTATCTTATCAATATTCAAATTCTCTTAAAATAAAAATACGTGATTTTTAAATACCACAGTTTTTGTAACGACAAAAGTATGGAAACGTTTCAGTTTTGCCGTATTTGTTCGTTCTGCGATACTCTGATAAAGCGTGCAGTAAATATTAACATCAGTGAGAATGGCAAAAGTAAAAGAATGTTCAAAAGATTTAAGAGACAACGTAATTGAATTATTTAGAAGTGGTGTCAGAAATGTTGACATTTCTTAAAGATTAAAAATGAACAATGGGACGATTTCGAAAATTATTAGTAAATATCAAGAATACGGATCAACAGCATCGCAGCCCAGGTGGGGAAGACCGATAAAAAACGATTATGTTTTGGATCGCTAAATTAAACTTTTGTCCCATGAATATCCTCGAATGCCAGCCACACAGAATCGTATATAGAAGAGGGTGCCGAGAATCTTTCTGTCAGAACAGTGCAGAGACGCTTGGTGGAGTTTGGGCTTTTCGGTAGGCGTCCAGTGCAAAAGCCTCTCATTTAAAAAAGTCGTATTGCTCGGCTTAAATTTGCTAAAACTCATCTAACTTGGTCATAACAACAATGGAATACAGTTTTATGCAGTGATGAAAGATTTAACTTGTTTGGATCTGACTGTATCAATTGCCAACAGTTAAGCACGGTGGAGGTAACATCATGATTCGGGGCTGTTTTTGTAGTTCTGGAACGGGTCCAATTGTTAAAATTGTTGGGAAAATGGATCAAAAACTTTACCAAGATATTCTTAGTAGCTCCCTTTTGCTGAAGAAGAAATGCCTTTACGATGGATATTCCAGCAAAATAATGACACCAAGCATACCTCAAAATTCGTAAAGGACTGGTTAAGACTAAAAAATGTTAATGTTCTTATATGGCCTTCGAAATCCCCGGATCTAAACCCTATAGAACATCTCTAGGAGCATGTTAAAAGACACCTGACGAGAAAAACTTTGAAAAATAAGAAAATTTATTTGATTATGTAAAAAATATTTGGCAAAATATCCCAACAGACGTCTGTAAAAAATTGGTGTCTTCTATGAGCAGCAGACGTCGGGTAGTGTTGAATGCTAAAGGCTATGCTACCAAATATTAGCTAAATAGTATTTTTTAAATCTTTTTGTAGTTATTGTATTTAATTTTGTAGAAAAAGTATGTTTCCATACTTTGGCGTATCATTTTTGGTCATAAAATAATATGAAGGTATGTTAATGCTAATCTGTAGTAACACAGCAGTCACAAATTGTTATTCGTATCCTCAAGACTGTAAACAAACTATATGAGAAAAAATAGTCCTTTTTAATAAATAATAAGCAATTAGCGCACTTTTTAAAAATTACTAAGAATGTTTTCAAACTCTTGTCCGCTACTGTACATCTTTCCCCCCTCACCTGCCCATGACCTTTGGGACGATCTGAATATTTAAAAAACTAACTGCCGATACACTTTGCTATGAACAAAACATTGGTTTCGGATTAAATGTAATGACTGTCTTCGGAAATCAAAAGTTCCCCAATTTTAGCTTAACAAAATCTTAAAAATCGCTTTAAAATAGATTAATCCTTGATACACTCTTCGGGGTCTTGTAGGGTAAGGTTTTAACTTTAATGTAGTTGCTCAAAAATGAGATTAGAGATTAGAAGAATGAACCAAAAGGTGATCCGTATTATTATTCTTTGACCTCTTCTCAGTTGATATCTGTTCATAAAGTGTGGTCCTCACGTTTGGCAAACTCAATTCCAACCAAGGGCTGGGATGGGTAGATATCACCAAATTATAGATGTTACCGTCGGAAAAATGTACTTATTTACTGATTCTTTTCGTGTGTATAGCGAAGTGTCCCTTTTTTGCAGATGATGGGCTGAAACCCGTGATCTCTGTTAACTGGTCAAAGGTAGATGCGCACATGGAGCGAGTATGGAAATCGAAGACTCGAATTCCCATTGACTACGAGTGTCTGAGGTGGACCCCGCTGGTAACGGCCGCCGCCGGACCTCTGTGGGCTGAACGAAAGTCTGACGAGGACAAGGAACAAGTAAAAATCGAGACTGCGGATATCGTGGTACCCGTTCCAGAGAAGATCATTATCGAGACCCAGCAAGGGGTAAAGTTGAAGAGAGGCAAGAAACGAAGGGTGATTTCGACGGCTCCGCCGAGAACGCCGAAGATGCCGAAAGTTGCGCCAAGGACGCCCAAAGCAGAGCCGAGGACGCCGAAAGGCGGGGCTAATCACACTTCTGATACGGAAATGACAACGCCAAAAATGGAAGCGAAGACGCAGAAGGTAAGAATGCTTTGCAATTAGAAACGAGTCTCCTGAAAGACTCGGCGTGAGAGAAAAATATGCATCTTCCAGTTTTTTTGAAAAATGAGAATAACGGAGATTTCTCAAATGTAAAAAATGCCGTCAAGTAGCTTGATTTTACACTTCCCACGCAACACTGTCGGCAATGCATTTTTTTGGTAGGTATTCATTTTTGTAATTTTTTCATAAATTACTCGTTTTTCTCATTTTATTTAGACGTTTACATGAAGACATTAAATTGTCCCTAAATCAAAATTGAACATAATTAAGTAAGCCCAAACTACAAGACCCTTAATGTTACTTCTTACGTCAGTTGGCCAGGAAATGTAATCGTGAAACATTCTGAATCGATAAATGATGTTTTTGTAAAGTTGAATAAATGTATATCACTAAACACCATGCCATATGCCACTTACTTTAAGTCATTCTCTTTATCTCAGTCTATAACTCGGAATTTTCATTGTTTGGATAAGAAAAATCATACACGAAAAGTGTGATTTATAACCATGAAAACAGTTACTCGTTAAACTAAGTTTGCACCCAGCTGAAAAGCTTTTAGAGCCCTATGCGAGAGATTTCAAGATTTGGTATCAGGACAAGTTGTCAGTTTGAGAATAAATTATTCCTAACCTCAGATACTCTGCGCTTGCGCAGTACACTCCGATCACTGCTCTCTCAGGCGTCAAGTTTTGGGGTCTTTTTTTCGTTTTTCACCGGTTCTCCTGAGCTGCTTTCCAATTCTTTTGAATTGAGTATGCATTCTGAGTGTGACGGTCCCGAACTGATCTGGCAAATGTGCACGGGAACGCGACGACACAAACCTAACCTGTTTTTTGATGTTTTGCTTTGACGGTGGCAATTTGTATCAAACTGCCAAACAATGAACATGTAAACACATTTTGCCTTTCAGAAGCATTGTCAGACGATCCTATTGATGCTTGATGCCAAAGTTCTTTGAATTGTATTATTTATAGTCAGGAACATTGACCCACATCCGTGTTACGTAACTTAAAAAGTGACATAACATCGATTTTTTATGACATGTAGTCTTTCCGCTGAAATATCACCTTCAAACTAGCTGACATTCACTTCATGCTCACTTGTAGTAAGCGCGGTATTAACTAGCGGCAGACTAGCGTCTACCTAGTGGACAAGTTTACATTTTTTGTCATTATATAAGTTTTTTACGTAACATCACAACGTGGTGCTACTGTAGCCATAACTTTGAGTACTTTTCAGATTTCCTGGACAGTTTTGATACATACCACTGGGTTTGTCCGTTGCCAGCTTGCAAATCTAGAATAACTAAAAACGATTGAAGACTTTCATCAGCTCGTCTGTTTACTAGTCCCTTTTGCAGGGAATTCATATTGTTTCTTTATTTTTAATTTTTCTTTCTCTTTGTATATTTTTGCTCTGCAAATAAACGCTATTATTATTATTATTTGAAGCCGATTTATAAATTCGTCGTTCGCGTTGCAGTTGTTGTTCACGCTCAAAGTTAGGCAACCTGTATAACCATGTATAAACTTTTTGCGTTCATCGTTGACGTAGGTTGTTTGACTTGGCCAAGCTTCAACTTTTGCAGTTGCAGTTAACCTCAAAACTGAAAGTAATCTTTAGACAATTTTGACAGGTTCATTTCCTGAATTCATTTTAGTTAGACTTTTACGAACAGGTTCGCAGAAATACAATCACATTAAACAATTTTCACTTTGAGATTGAGATTATGTATGTCCTAAGTTCCTGACATTTGACAGTTGCACTTGGGAGTTTATAAATTGTCACTGAATTGCAAAGAATAACTACAAAGACCAACTACAACGACGAACGAACAACGACGCGTTTATAAATCGGCATTTAAATGGAATTTTACCAATTTGTAGCATGAAATGAACCTCTGGTAATTCAATGACAATATAGAGGTTGTTTTATACTCGTTATAGTTTCGTTCTTACCTTCCGTTCGTCAATTTTGAAATTTGTATAATAGTTTTCTCTCGGCTTTATTTTAAGACATATTATACTGTTTTCAAACCGGGCAACGCAAACACAAAACATTGATGTATCACTTTATCAAGAGCTGAGCATATCTTGTTTATGATGAATAGAAATGGCGACCGATCCGGTAGCGCTCAAAGTGATTAGTACGTTCAACAGAAAATAAAGCATTTCTTAAGAAGCGTTGTGATAAACTCGCGGGACACTATACACGGGTAATACAAACAATCTCTCCGATAATATGTATTGAAAACAAAATGGTTTTTGTTGCATTTTCAGATGGAGACGAAATCTTTGAAGGGGGAACAAAAAACTCCTAAACAAGAATTAAAAACTCCTGTAGTTGTTCCTGTAGATAGCTCAGAAAACGCTGAGGAAGTAGAAATTACTTCATCTGGTAGAAAACGTACCAGGCCAAGCAAGTTCAACGAAACGACCTTTGGAGACACCAAATCAAAGACAACCCCCGAGTGTACCACTAAAAGGAAAAGAAACGAACTAAAGGAACCGGAAGTTGATAGGAAGAAAGCCAAGGTTGAACGGTCAGAATCGGAAACAGCGAATAATGATGCGGACATGGTTGATTCCAAACCATCCGGTGCAAATGGGAATATGATTGAATTGGCACATTCACCTACACGCAGACCTCTCAGAAGAGTTGTAGTTAAAGCTCAGGAAACAACAAAGAAAGAGTCTGACAAGGCAGCCGCTCCAAAGAAGGAATCTGTTGCTAAGGTACCGGATGTACCGAAAAAAGAAGAGGAAAAGGTGACAGCAGAGAAAACAGTAGGTGTTCCAAAAAGGGTGATGGAAAGGCGATCTGTCGCCAGCAAAACTGTAGAAACACCTACAAAAGAAACACAGGTAGGTTTAAGTATATTAGACAGTTATTTTCATCCAAAATTAACATTAGAAATAAAAAATATTCAATAATAGACCTTGTATAGCGGTAGTAGTGTATTTGGCCTAATTTTAAACATAAAGTTCACATGGTATGCCAAAGAAAGGTAGCAGAATTAAAATATCGTAATAAATGTGAATATAATACAGAGTGAGTTAACAGTGTTTGTTTCACCATACTATAAACAAAAACATGATGAAAATACAAAATCATTATGACTGGATTATAACTAGTGTTTTTGTTTCTCTTATTGTAGTCATTAAAATCACAACTTGAGTAAAATAGCTACTTGTTAAAACACTATATAAAAAATGAAAAATAAAAACATTATATATATACAACTTACTGATTCGAAAAGTTAAAAAATCATTTATAGAGTAAAACATACTTGTTTTTAAACTTTAAATATATAGAGTACTGACTTTCTAGACAGAAATCACTTAGATACTTAAAAACTTTTTTAAATTTGATGTAGCTCTCTATATCTCGCAGATCTCGAGGTAGAGTAGTTATTATACAATGATATGATTGGGGTGACTTTGTATATGCGTTCTAAAACAGTTTGCTTTCAAAATAGAATTTCTGCTCTTAAAATCGTGTTCATTTTGTATAAATAGCTGAATAGCATTAAGGGTGCATAGCTTCTGTTTTATTCATTCATACAGATCCTTCTGTTTAGCCTTATGGCGTGTGGCGATTCATTAAAGGATGATGATAAATTCGTAAAACCTGCCCTGGAGAACAATTTCTGAAAACTAGGAACCAGTAGTGGGCGGGGTTCTCTTACTTTGCGATGAAGTATTTCGTTGATATGAACGTTGTTCTCTGGGTGATTATATGGATGAAGTAAAAGGAGAATAGTTGCGAGAGTCTTACTTTTGTAATGAAACATTTAATGATATGTAAAACTTCTTTGGGGACAATGGAGGCATATAAAAATTTATTTGATAAACGTCAAAAGCTTACAGAAAACAAATGCAACTACCCAACTTTTTATTGGTTACTCTACACCTTCTTGTTTTCAGGAATTGGCCTCAGATCGATATTAATCTGATAGTTTCTTTAAAAATGATGGCCACTAATTTTCCGAGGTGAAACAACTATACGTTATAAACCCGAGCTTAAATAGTACCATAGTGTACAGGATGTGTCTTGTAGAACTGCAGCAATCGATTACTCAAAAAATGAACGTTAGACAATTATGAAAATTTGAGGGTATAACATAACTGATTTGAGAAATTCGGCTAAATATTTTCAAAATGGTGTCACAGTTTTAGCGGAGGTAGATACCAAGTTGCTGTTTTAAATGGTACATCCTATACCCAACTCTAACCGTTATCGAGAATTATCAAATTTTGTGTAAAACTCACAAATACAGGTCCAAAAAAAAGCTTATTAATTTTTCGTATATCTTTGACTGTTGTCGAACGATTTGTAACTGGTTGCTTATAGAAGGGGGTCTACTTTAGTAGACTTCATTCGATATTTTAATAATAAATAATACAGGGTGGTTAAAAAACGGTTGAAAATTAAATTGAAAATACCTGGTTATTTTATAATCTCATCATCTGAAACGATAAAAATCAGATAGTTTTGTATAAGGTTATCTACTCCGCAAATCAGTAATTTAGCAAAATATTTGCAAATATATGCTTTCTACCCCTCTATACGGTTTTCTTTATTATCGGAGTCGTGTGACATTTCAAAAATACTGTAGACATTTGTTCTTAGTAAGACTTTCCCCACCAATAATAAACAAAGTAATCAATAATATGAGTGTTTGATATTTAATTGGCACGTCTGAGTCGATTTGTAAACATTTTTCAGGTAGCAAATAGCGCAATGTTCAATTATTAACATGGCAGTACTGCAGCTATTATTATAACCTTATCTATACGTGTTTGAAATTTCATTGATAGCCTAGTCGGTAGAGCGCCAACGTGAAACCGAGTTTCAAGGCTACGAAATGGTACTCCATTTTTTCTTTTTCCCCCTTCTCTTTTTTATGTGCAATACATGCACCACATGTGATAAAGTCATACCTTATAATTATATGTAATTAATTTTTAATAGGTTTCTTCGGGTTTTTATCAGTATTGTTCTAGAACTACCAGGAGCATGCGCAGGAGAAACCGGGTTTATGTTGGATTACTATCGGGACGGTTTAGAACTGAAATTTGGTGTTCGAGTTATATCATGGTTCAGTTCTAGGATGGTTCGAGAATAGTTCAAGCAATTCTTGCTTTACTACCGGGACCATTTTTTAACTGATTTTTCACGCATGCGTATTGCTTCTGCCAATGTCATTAAAATTATTTGATGTGTTTTGCTTTAAATGATATTTTCTTTTTCGCCCTTCTCTTTTTTATGTGCAATACATGCACCACATGTGATAAAGTCATACCTTATAATTATATGTAATTAATTTTTAATAGGTTTCTTCGGGTTTTTATCAGTATTGTTCTAGAACTACCAGGAGTATGCGCAGGAGAAACCGGGTTTATGTTGGATTACTATCGGGACGGTTTAGAACTGAAATTTGGTGTTCGAGTTATATCATGGTTCAGTTCTAGGATGGTTCGAGAATAGTTCAAGCAATTCTTGCTTTACTACCGGGACCATTTTTTAACTGATTTTTCACGCATGCGTATTGCTTCTGCCAATGTCATTAAAATTATTTGATGTGTTTTGCTTTAAATGATATTTTCTTTTTCGCGGTTTGAGGAGTGTTTTTTATTTCAAATTAAAAGAAAAGTGGACAAATGGATTCAATGCAGATCATGACAGTGATGATGAACTTGAAGGCAGTTACTCCCAACTTATTTTTCCCAGAGCTTCTCAAAGATGTGAACAATAATAATTTCTTTGAGGAAACTTTTCCTTCCTATACTGGTAAACAGTTTGTTGAGCATTTTAGGTAAGTTATTTTTTATTCAGCAAAGCAACTTCCTAAAGATCCAGGCCACGTGTAGCACTAAACAAAATGATTGTTGCCGTAGTGCTGGGTTCAGGTTGTTCGGGTTTTGGCAAAATTCTGATAGTTCACGGACTGTTCATAACCGCTCCAGAGATCTTACGCATTCAGTCTTGCGCAGTTCCAGAAACGTTCTGTGACAATACTGAAATTAGAACTCGAAAATAGCCATAAATTCACCGCGCCATGGCCAACTTTGCTGAACAGCCCATAAAGAAGCTTATGGAGAGATAGAAAACGAGTATTTGCAAATATTTACTAAACTACTTATTTCTGAAGCAGACAACCTCATACAAAACTATGCTTATTTGTATTGCTTTTGACGATGAGATTGAAAAACAAGGATTTCCATTTGAAAAAATTGAGTTTTGGCATATTTTACAATTTTATTTTCATAGGATTTTTTTTATTAATTGGCAAATATCGAATGAAGTGTACTAAATCAGGCCCCTCCTATAAGAAAACAGCTACGAAGCGTTCGGCAAGGACAACAAAATACGAAAAATTAATAGGCTTATGGACCCGTATTTTGTACAAAAACTTTGATATGTATCAAAAACGGTTAGGGTTAGTTATAAGATATTATACATGGAATTTGTTTAGAATCTTGAGAAGTATTCAAAAATATCAATGGGATGGGCCACCATGTTAGCAGAATTTCTCGTACCAGTTATACCATAATCCCAAGTTTTTATAATAATCTTTTTCTGGGTAATCGATCGCTGCAGCTCTACGTGGACACACTGTATTTTTTTTGAATGATTTTCATAGGTTTGTGAAGATGCTACTCCCAAATCCTCAACACGGCCAAAGAGAGGCTCTGCAACCAAAGCAAAAGTCATAGGTGAAAGGTGGTCACAAAGGAGGGTAAAGAAACAGCAGGAACTGGAAGAGAAAGAAAGAGAAAAGGAAAAGGCAAAGGAGAAAGAGCAAGAAAAAGAGGTTGAAAAAGCGGTTGAAGTTGAAGCTCCTGAAACACCTGTTAAAGAGATCAATACCACAAAGGAAGAAACTCCTGTTAAAGTTGGCGTCACAAAAGATATCTTAGTGAAAGATTTAACTAGTGTAAATACCTCGAATCAGGTTAAAAAACCTGGCAAACGTATGAGAAAGAAACGGGGTTGGGTGAAGGGAAAACCCAAACAGTCCATAGACAAGAAGACTCAGCTAACATTGCCTGAACTAATAAAGGCCAAGTTAGAAAAGGACAGTGAGAGTGAGTCTTTAATTTCAGAAAAATCAGACGAAGATAGCGCACCTAGAAGCGAAGTGACGACTGCCACACTAAGTCCCGAAAGACGAGACAGAGTAAAAGGTAGAAAAGAAGACAAGCATAAGAGGGCAGCTCGGATATCTACTGAAGAGGATTCTAGCGCAGAAGCGGACGATGAAATGGAGAACGATGAACTACCGGCGCGAAAAGACACCACGCCGACTAAGTATAAGCTTACCAAGACATCACCTAGGGACAAAGACTTGTCTAGGACACCTCCAAAGATTAAGGATAAGAGTGAGACGAACTCTGTTTCGCCTAGGCTTGAAAAACATGAATCACCCTTATATTCTACTACTTCCGAATCCGAATTGGAAATAGATGGTCAGAAAATCAAGACTATTTCTCAGAAGGAGGTATTCCAGAGTAATTTGATGCCTCACATTAAGCATTCTGAACCAAGTCCGTTTAAGCTTGGTTCCACGGAAAGCAAGAATGTTGGTAATGACCATGTGCAATCTACGGAGCCTGTACACAGTGAGAATAGACCTATGGAAGTGGAAGAGAATTCTGTCGAATCTGGTAGAAAGTCGACAGACATGGAGATTGAGAAATGTGATCATCAAGAGAATATCATAACCCACAAGGAAGGCCCTGAGATAGAACCGCAAGAGAAATTGGCGAAAACTGAGGAACAGATCCCATTAGAGTTGTCAAAAGGTGCTGTGGTAAATTCTGAGAAGAAAGAGGAGCAGCATATTCTGCCTGAGGCTTGTGAAGATAAAACCACTCCGGATCATAGTAAAGCCGAAAATCCGGAGAAAAAAATAACAGACAGTGCATCTCCTGCTCAATCCATAGTACAAGCAAGCGAAAATCAAGAAGTGCAGGTCATACAGCATCATTGTGTGCAGGAAAACGCGCCTCAGCCTGAAATTAGGAGTAAGGATAATACAGTGATACATCATGGCCAAGATAAACCTGTCCAAGAAGAAAAACCTCCTGTATCTAGTCAAATCAATGATTCGGAAATATCCGTTATACAAAACCACACTGTCGGAGAAAATTGTGAAAAAACGCAGGAGCCTCAACAAAGCATCGAGAAGTCAGTGGTAGTTGAAAAGCCTTCTAATGAAAAAATTGTACCTCAAATTGTTAGCGAGAAACCGGTTGAAGACAAGCAGGTTGGGAATGATAAACCAATTATCCAAGGTCAAGTTAGTGAGAAACCTCCCACATGTGAAAGGGTTCCAAGCGAAACTAACGAGAAGATTGACATATCCTGTAAGAATTACGAAAGACCCCCCGTCGAACCTGTCAGTTACGCCCAGACACCAGATACAAAGCAGTCAGCAGTTCCACCACCACAGCAGCAACAACAACCCGTGATCTTAAACCAGCCAGGTGACAGTAGAAGTTATGATCAGAAATCATCGGTGTGTAAGAGCATCACGCAAGAGAGCAGACCTGTTGAAAAGTCTCCCATGAAGGAGTACAAGACCTCATCGGGAGAGTATAAACCCTGTGATATGAGAGACTTCCGAGCAAAGGACGATGGAAAAAGTTCTGCTCGGACCGAGAGTAGGGTGAAGCAGGAGAAATATGATGATAAGAGGTAAGCAATACATTATTGAAATATTCTGACCTTCAGTAAATTTATTCAGTTGCACGTGGAATAATGAATGAACGCCATAGCGATTATTATTATTATTCTGAGATGAGGCTTCGCGAAGTAATTGTACTTACTCCTTTAGTGTATTCATCCGTTGGAATAGGCTACTTGACACATATAATTTCATAGAATAAATGAGCATTTATATTTAAATTTTTGAAAGCGCAAGATGGAATTACAAGTGTAATTTAACAAATATATCTTTTATTTTTACTATGAAACGGTGAAAACAGTATCGGCCATGATGTGACGTCATACAAATTGTCAATAAGAAATGTAATCCGTATGTCACTAGTGGACTAACGTCTTCTTTGAATATTTCTAAAAAGACTCCTAATCAACATTAAAAGTTATCGTTTTCTCGTTTTATTAAAAAAAATCATGGACGTTTAACTTGTAACAGAAAGCACACATTTGCATAAAATTGACGACTCATTGATGGTTGGTAATTGTAAGGAACATCAAGACTTCTATACAGTGCATCATAGAATGATAGACATTAACAGAAAAAATAAGTAATACACTTACATGATGTTCATTTTCAGAAGCCATTCAAAACTAAGCTCATGCTTCATAACCTTTGAATAATTTTATGTAATATTGTATTTCTTCTTACACATCTGTAAGGGAATCGTACCGTGATCGTGACGTGGGTTACATCCAACTTGAACGAGGCGATAAAATCTGTACAGCAAAATGTAAAATATTTCGCGAACATAAGATATGCACCAAGCAATACACAATGTTGCGTATATTTATTACCCTGGGCAGACTAATCCACGCCTTTCCTGGGGTCTTCATTGATGTGTGTTTACATTCTCGGACGATACAGAAGCGGTAATTACTATATTTTTCACGTAAACTAGTATGTAGTTATGTTTATGTGATTGAAAGTTTGAGACGTTATGTTGCTGTCAGATGCTGTTTACAAATGGTTTGACGTCAGAGCACATTGATATGATGGACATGACGGCCTGTCTAAGGAAAATATATTTTTGAATCATAGTTTTATGGTCTTCTAGGTCTGAAAAAATGTGGTATTAATTTTTATGACCTAATAGAACAAACATTAGCTATATAAGACCTACTTAAAAAATGGGCCAACTAGCCTGCGCCACGCTCAATCAATTTGGAGAAAAAGATGCTTAAAAATTCAAACTCGACTTATACACTAGTAAGGCTTTTCCTGTGTTCGGGGCGAAATAGCATAGTTGGTGACTGTGTGCATGTCGCGTGGGCGCTCGGTGTTCGAGTCCACGACCAAGCTTACTTTTTTATTTATTAATTGAATACTGATAATTTAAATAAAAACAATTTTATTTTGCTAACAAAAAGGTTTCTTAAATTTTTAAACATTTTAATTATAGTAATTAATTATTAATTATTAAAAATATAATATAAATAATAATTAGAATATTCATAAATAGTAACTATAATTATTACTTCTATTATTCAAATCTAAGTTTTGAATTATTCCATACCAAATTATACCTTGGATACTATCAAACTGGTTTTTGACCAATTATAAACAGTATTCATGTGAGAGTATCTGTTTTCTGTTGAATACAAACAATGCTCCCATAGAATAAGTGACCAATACATATTTTGACAGGACATAGATATTAATGAAATTAGGTCATTCGAAGAATATTATTCATAAAATAAATTGTATAATTTTATTTAAAAACAAAATCCCGAAAGGCCTATTGGGACATCGTTTTGAGTACATAAAAAGATGTAAAGCCTTCTCTACAGACCTTGATGTGACGTTTCCAGGTACCACCAGAAAGCTCCATCTATGGAAGACAAACCACATCCACCTCCAGCGATATCTTACGACGCTCAACCGCCACCCCCACCAAAAATGCACATGGACAGCGAGAGTTTACTGGCTAACGCGATGGCGACCCAGAATTACCATCATATGACCCAGGCTGCGCAGTATCAGTGGCAGTGGGAACGGTTAGCGTGGAGCAAGGGCATATATTATGACACCGCCAAAAGGGAGTACTCGGCTGGATACCCGATGCTGCCACAGTTTACGCCTTTGGAGATGCTGCCCAAACAAACTAGCTGCGAAAAGGTACCTATCTTCGAAATCAACAACTAAATTTTTTGGAAAAGAGAGAAGAGGTAAATGTAACCTCAGAGCTTGACAATTCAAATTATGTATTCATTTTTTAATAGAATCGATATGGATACTTTTAGCATTGATACTCGTTCTGTTTTCTGGACACTAGGCTTATTTTATATATTTTTATATTTAACTAAACGTGTTCATTTTGCTTTTGAAATAAACACCTCGGGCCACAGAACGACTTGCTAAGAATGTTCAGGCCACTCACAGAAATCACTCAATGTTTAACCAACGAATTCTAATATATTAGGGGCCGAGCATATAATTTTTTATATTTCATTGATTGTCGCTAAAATTGCGTAGCTTCAGTACATACTTTTGACTTATTTCACTATAGTGGATACCAAATAAAACCCGATGCACGTCATCGATCTGGAGCTGTGCGCTGTTGCCAGAATTTGCACATTTTCTTTTAAGCAAATAAATTTAATAAAATAAATTGTTTATATATACCTACCATTTACTATAATACCATTATATTAAAAATAAATAAACTTGTTGTAAAATTAAATTCCTTTCTGAATAAAAACACCTGATTTTGGTAGATATTCAATGATATGAGCTCTTTACACCGACTGTTAACTTGTTTTGGCATTTTGGATACTTTACACCACTTCACAGTAACTGTTGTTCTGAAAAGAACAATTTTTAATTGGCAAGGCAACGATTCAAAGCTCAAATAGCGCAAAACTCACAAACTAAACAATAAAGAACTAATAGTACGACAAAAGGACAATGGCAACTGATGTCAACAAATGAGAAGTGGCAACCTCACATTTCTCTGCACGGCACTACCAACCGAATCGAGACGGGGAAATTTAAACTTCAAGTAGAAATGTCACATTGAATGTAGTCAACTGTTGGTAACCATGATTTTTATGAATGACATCACCTATGACGTGCATCGGATTTTATTTGGTATCCACTATACCATTATCTACCAAAGTGACAACGGTATATCAACATTAATAATTACTGCTAGAATTATCTACCTTCATTAGGATTGTGCTGCTTATTCCAAATTTTTCAAGAAATACCATGACCTGAAATTGTCTATCACCACAATTATACCAATTTAATGACATAACTTTAAAAAAATTAACTTAACGTCACTTGTCCGTCCTTAAGGCCGTACATCCCATTTTTTTCAACTACCTGATAGAGACACTAGTATCAATTTCTATCATTTTTTTGTTAATTTATTGTAAAATTTTTTCCTCAATTTCTCGTTCAATTTCTCAATAACTTGTTAACAAATAATAGTACACCTCTCAAATTGTATGTAAATATTCCACGTGACTAAGCATTTAACTTAGATGGACATTTTTCTTAGGAAAAAGCACCTTCAAAGTCACACAGACATTCCCAAGGTAGTAGCAGTAGTAGTAATAAATCGTCAACAAAAGACAGTAGTAGCAGGGGAAGCGAAAACAAAGATAAAAATCCATCGCCCAGAAAAGAAGATAGAAGTAGACCAAAGAGCGAAGATTCAGCCAAAAGTTCCAGCATTGGTGATGCTATGAGAACAACTTCCTGTTCATATAATAATCCGCATACGACAATTAAAACGACCAATGTAAGTGTTTAGTTTTTTTTGAAAATTCATTATCAAAGTTTTAGTGTTTTGTTTTTATGCTATATTTTTTTATACCGTAACAGCCGAGCAGGCGGAAGCCCGAATACCGGGGTACAGCGGCTGCTATGAGGAGCTTAAATAAACTTTGTCAATCTGATTTTTGAACTACCTAAGGTTAGTAGACTGGGAAAAGCCTCCTCCTTCCATAATCTCGATACCATAGAGGCGGATCCGTAGCGGTCGTATCGACCAGTTCTGAGTGTACGAGGTTCGACACGGTTAGGAAGGGAGGCCGAAGTCAGGCGGGTCTGTCTGGTACGCAAATCTCGCGGCCGCATTATGGAGGAGAGCACCCGTCTTACGGTCTTATGCCTGAAGGTTACTTCTCGCATAGTGTGGGAACCCTTTGAATCGACGGCACTCGGGCGTTTTAAGGGGACATCTGTGGTGGAGTTGGTAGCAAAGAACTTGGTACGTAAGCAGAGGAAGGCTACTCTTTGAGAAGTGCCCTTCAATCTGCTTGACCAGTATCCAGAAAGACCGACTGCCATTGCGGTGAGACATTACCTTGAGCCTAATTTTAACATCATGCTGGCCTTTGGCATTGCGGACCTCACGTTGCATTTGTTTATGGACTCAACATTGGCTTATCTGTTTTTTATAGTGCGGTTTCGTAAGAAGGTTCTGTGTGCGTTCATCTTCTGTCGACGACCAGTGTCGCACGATTTGTTGAACCAGCCATTGCTTCGGCTTCCATCATCGCTTCACAACATTTCATTTGATTAGGTATTGATGTGATGAACATTGTGAAGTATGAATCCTACAGACTATGGAATTCTGAAGCATGTGAAACATCAACATTACTAACTATCAAGACTTATTTGTTTCTCTTCAATTGTAGGCATCATCAAATACGACCCCCGAAAAACCGGAGTCCAAAGTGAAACCTAATCACGAGGAACATCATCAAGTAATGGAAGATTCGGCTGCACAGCAGATTCACCAATCATCCATAAAACATACACCACCGACTCCATCTGCTCCAGACATTCCTTCTATGGGAGTTTACACACCAGATTCTACTACGAATTCTGTCCACAGCTTGCATTACGGTAAGCAACCATTTCTATTATGAAGAATCCAAAGTTTGTCTTTCAAACAACTACATAAAAGATTTTCAAGGAACTTTTTTGTAAAATTAAATGAATTCTTCCAGTAACCATCATGCATAGTTGAGGGTTTATTTACTCCTGCAGCGCTTCTTTTTGAACTTCAAGAAGTAAACACCGCTTTTCCACTCAATACAGTTTTGATCAAAAAAAAAAGAAAATCCAAGTTTTTATAAAATACACTAAACGATTTGAACGTATAGAAACCTCCTCCCGGTCAGGCCGAAGGTTAGGTTTGGGCGACGTTTCGAAAAAGCCATTCAGAATATTGTTGAGTTAATGAAGTAATCAGGTATCTGGCACAACTGTCATTCTTATAGATTTTTGGAGTCACTGAATTCAAATCCGAGGACTGTAAGGTAATTTTTTTAATTTATTGGTCATATTACATAAATCATATGTATGCCACGTCATTGGACGTTAAAACTATAGAGCAAAAGAATGTCAAACATTCACAATAAAAAACCGAGGGAACATTGGACATAAATCACCAAAAAAACTAAGAATTGTAAATTAAAAATTGTTCAAACGAGGAGGATGTACTAATTCGTTTTTTTAATTGCATATAATTTAACTCACGGATGGTCTGATGTAAATTATTGTAAGCATTTAGATTTAGTGAGTGTTTTGCAGATATATCTAGTCTTTAACGTGGCAGTCTAAGGGCTCCAGCCTGTCTTGTATCATAGTTGTGGATTTCTGATTGAATTGTGTAGTGGTTCGAGTTTTTATGATTATGTTGCCAAGTGTAAAGTATGTAGATACATGACAACCGCAGTATACCCAACATTTGGAAGACATGTTTGCAGTGCTCATCCAACTTAGCACCTGCTATAATCTTTACAGTACGATTTTTGCAATTTGAATACACACACCACGTGAAATGATCATCCCCAAACCATGCTTTTGCTTCTAATTTTTGCAATATGAATAATTGTGTTGATAGTTTTTTGCATCAAACTCTACATGAGCCTCCCATTTGAGAGCATCATGAATTTTTATACCAAGAAGAAATACCATTTTGTTGCCATTCATCAGATTGTTTACTGGTAGGATGGTCTTTTGTGTTCTGCCTCTATTAAGTTTTAAACGGTTCGCCGCAAACCATCTTGAAATGAGCAGATTTTGTCCTCATGCGATTTAATTAAAGTAGTATCGTCATCAAAACACACGCAATTTATTTGTTATTTATACTTATAATTTCTTACAAAAAGTAAAGGCTCTAAAACAACGGTTGATCAGATAAGGATACAAAAAGTTCACTCTCCTCAAAACCGTCGACAGCACATCGCACAAGCTGTGTAGTCGAGCGCTAACGCCGAAACCCAAATTGATTTTTATTATGCTACGGTCTTCTAAGAAGGACTCAGAACGTTTTTTATTAGTACCTCGAATAACTTTGTAATTATTGTAATTGTGGAGATGGGTCTATAATTATCTACGCATCAAATTGAGATAATCCCCGGGAATCAAATCAACTAGACGTGTAAGCAGAGATCCCAAAACATCCGAAAAGACTAATAACCTGATTTTCAGCCGTTTTCTCAATTTGAGCTTTAAGTGACCTCGGAACGCCATTCAAATGATCTGATACTTACCTAGATTTGGACCTGGTGACTCCTAGAATCTGTAGGCATTATAGTTAAGTGTCAGATACGTGATTACCTACTTCATAAACTTGCAATGTACTGGATGGCTTTATCGAAATCTCACCTGTAATTGACGTTCATCCTGTTCTAAGGTTCTTCTAAGTGGTCAACCCGTTTAGTTATTTTATATTCATGAAAAAAATCTGTTGATCAAAATCGTATTGTGCTGAAAGTCGGCCTTATGGGCTTCTTTGTAATGTTAGTAATCAAAAGCGTAAAAATCTTTTGAGTCTGCACCTACGCACACTTGTTACCATATTTTAAATATGGATCTGTAACCAACGGTGGACATGAAATGATCCTTGGGGATCAAGGACTTACGCACTGTGCCCTTTCTTGCTCCGTGTCCCCATAGTGTTAAACTATAATGTATTTCAATCAGGCCAATGTGAGTTAGACGTTGCTCAACTAGGCTTGGAGTCCCCGGCGTCGATATCGAGCGACATGGCATCCCAGAACTCCGTGGAGCCGACGCGGCCACCTTCCACAGTACAACAGCAGCAACAACAGTACGAGTGTTCTATGCAACAGATTCATCAACAACAGCAGCAACAACAGAACATGCAGACGGTGTCTGCGCCAGTGTCCAGTCCTCAAATGGCCCAACAACAACAGCAGATGGGACAGCAGCAGCAGCAGCAGCAACAACAGCAGATGTCTGGGAGTAACAGTAGAAGTAAGACGCAGCAGAGGAATAGGTCCAATACGCCTTCTGGACAGTCGCAGTCCAAACAGCAGGCAATGAATAGAGCGACACCCCCAAGGTAATTCTATTATAGAACTTGAAAGACAGGTGAATATAACTCATACTCAAAGATGCTCAAACATTACAAGCGTATGTAGCTAAGAACACTCGATCTTGTCACTTTTAAAGCGAAATAAATGAAATATGGGGTGCGGCAGCATAACTTTCTTTTTTAAAATGCGTGCCATTTAGTCGGTTGATGTCGTAGCGGGGCGCTAGTGGTATCGTGAGAACCAAACATAACCTATACTTACTTATGAAACGAAATATATTCTTCTGTATTGTGAGCTATATTTTCATATATGTATGTAGCAGTGCCTTATCATTATATTTTCACAAACTCGCTAAAAAGCACTGCAGATACGAATAAATAAAATTCGAATGACAAGTTACTCCGTCAACACGAAAACTCACATGACACTTTCGAATTATGAATGGAAGCGTTTACGCATCTTATAATAGTTGTCATATTGCATTTTTGCAAAAAATTACCTAATAAAAAATGATTATTCTCATCATGTCATGGAAGATATATTACTACTGAATACCAACTGTAGATGCAAAGGATTTTTAGAGATTTACTAGCGTCCATTGAGGGAACAAATTTCCAAGCAGATGTCTGTAGAAATTCGAATGTAAATAGATAGTCTATATTTTTTAGGAGGGGATGGGTGTAACAAAAGTAGTGGAAGGGCTCTGTATTTTTCAAGGTAAGGCATCTTTGAAAACGGTCGCTAACTTTTAAAAGGAGTATGGCGACCTTGGACTTAACGCTGAGTCTCACAAGAATGGAAACACTTTCGCCTCAATATGTTAAAATCTAAGATCATGGTGACCTCTAAAGGTCAAATGTGTGAGGCTGAGCACTACTTCAACCTTGAACCCCACCTTCAAAGTACTTTCTAGGTCACCGGCCGTGGAAAATTTTACGTTATAACATGTTTTCATGTACTATTTCCATAACTATCCCCTTTTTGTAATGTCAATATAACTGATTATTATTAGGAAAACATTGTCTGAAATTTGGATAACTACATACATCTGACTTAGTCCCCCATGTTTGGCTAGCCAATCAAACCACATGCATTTAAAATTCTTTATTGTAGTATACGTTTCGGTCACAACGGTGACATCCTTCAGTACATGGCACTTTACTTTTTTGACAATGTTCTATTTATCTATCTTCCAGGGGACACTTCGTTTGTTTTTTCTTTTCATTTCTATACAATAGTCTGAAAGGTACGTAACATTCTGAGATTGCGCGAAGCCATCATTCCAGATTTGTAAGATGGCACCTCGCAAAGTCAGCATAGCCCCTAAAAGGACAAGCGAGCATGAGGTTATATTTTAAATGTACCAGATGTAACACCCTCCTCCATCGTTCCGAAAATGCCTTAAGCCCTAAAAAAAAAAAAAAAAAAAAAAACACAGATCTGAAACGAGAGAAATGGCACTTCATCATTTAAAGGCAACCATGTTGTTTGTCCTGTGAGAAAATAATATGACACATCAGTTTAGCCTTGCGATGGAGAAGTAAAACATCTGCGCTTTTGAGATCTGAGAACAAATCATGAGAAAATCCCAGATAAAAAACTCATGTTGGAGAATATCATTTAGATCTTTCCATCTAGGATATTCGACCAAATTGAGTCACACTCCACAGAAGAACTAGAATGACAATTGTTGTTCACTTTTCAGTCTATTATAGTACCACACAAACGAAGTGTGACGTGAAGATTGATAAACAAAATATTGTCAATAAACTTCAGGTACTGACGAAAGTCTCGAGTATGACAAAAATAATACTATAAAGAAGAATTTTAAACGCATGTGGGGTAATTAGTCAGACAAAGTAGGGAATTATTGACATGAAAACCACAGGATAAGTTTCAGATGTTACATTACATCTAACTTATTTTGCAGTGTTACAAATCAAGTGAATCAGTCTAATCGTCAACGAGCCACCCCTCCAAGCAGTGGTCAACAATTGCAGCACATGCAGGTCAGTCCTACGGGTGGTATGCAACAGCAACATCTCAGCAGCAGTCAGCAATCTCAGCCACACTTGCACCATCAGGTCGTACACCAGGGGTACCAATACCAGTTGGGCACTTCACCGGTGAGCTCTATTTTAAACTTTCTAAGGATTTACAATATCAGTGGGGGTATTCTCTACCTGGAAAAATTGAATTAACAGCTGAAATAGATTGCTTGCATCTATTTTTTAATGATGATGGTTCTCTATCCTCATCGTTTCGCCCGTGTATTGAGAAAAAAGTGTTTAGAATCCGTACATTAAAAGAAAACTCATTCAAATCACAATGAATTCGAATATATGTTTATACATTGCATTGTTTGTTGCCAAAATTGCGTAGTTTTAGTGCATATTCTTGGCAACGCTGATGACTATTACATATAACACTTGTCAATAAAAAGATTTGCCCTTATTCAGTTTAAACTGCTTTTCGCAATCCACAGAAACCTTCACTACTTTCGGCAACTGTCTAGAAAATTAGGATTGTATGAAACCCGCTAGCTTTTATATGTTTTTGCAGTTCGAATTTAATGTGAAGTGTCAACAATTAACTTGTAGCATGAACTTGGATCCTGACCACTGACTACATAATTATGGCGACAAACAAATCGTATACTTGCTCCTTCTGCCTATCCCGAATTCGTTGGTGTGTTATAACATATTTGACTTTAAACGGAGCAAATTTTTTTACGTTCGAATATACCTTGGCCATGATTTGTATCCAATGCCATTTTCAACGTCAAATCAAGGCATTGAAAACAATTTGCTCTTTAAAAAATGTTCAGCAGTACATGATCATGGCATTGACTATGACCTCCAAGGTCAAGTAAACATTTCCAAAGGAAACTACTCATTTATATACTATAAATGGAAATAGCAGGAAATTTCACGTCCGAATGTGGACTTTCCCTCAAAGTCAAGATCGTGTCTCGCCTAAATGTTTTGAGGTCAAGGTCACATTCGGATGTAAAATTTTCTGCTTTTCCATTTCCAATATACAATTGAGAGGTTTCCTTCGGAAATGTTGACTTGACGAGGACGTCAAGGTCACCTTGGTGTGATCGTCACAAATTTACTAGATCAAATTGTTTTGAATGTCTTGATTTGACCTTGAAATGTTATTGAAGACAATGATCAAGGTGATTTTCGGACGTAACATATCTGGACAGCTTGCAAACTTGATAACGCGATACATGCATGCGCATGCTCCCTACTTGCTGAACCAGCAATACTCCTAAAACAATTGGGCTGAATACGGCGTCAGCCGCTTCCAAAAGCAGCCGAAGCAGCGGTGTCGTCTAACGGCTGAAATATCAAAATATGAACAGCCGCTCATGTCGCTTTCTTGGTGCTATGCGCAAGCATTGATTTTCTAATGTAATTCCAGGTTCATCAGCACGGTCACCATCCTCACCACCATTCCGTGATCAGCCAGGGCAACTATATTCCCGTGGCGACGGCGGTGAGCACGCAGGCTTTTCATACTCAACCACCCCCTACCAGTACGTATGTGAACGTACCAATGACAACTGTCATCCAGCATCGAATGAGCGCTCATCAGGGGGCGGTAGCAGCGGCCGCTAAGCTGTCCGCCTCATCGCCTAGTTGCGCTGTGACTTCAGGGGCTAGTTTCTATATTCAGGCTAACCCCCATCACGCTCACTCGCATACGCCTGGGCCTGCATCCACGCCTACTCCCCCGCAACAGGTTGGTGTTTTTTATTTTCATGTTCAGAGATATAATTTTATTTTTTCATAATGTTTTACAGTTCACATTACAGTATTATACATGGTGAGTTTTTAGTGTTGACTCGACCGATAACGCATGGGGTATAACTTTTTTTTAATGCACGCCAGTCAGTTGATGACGTAGCGGAGCGCTAGTGGTCTTGTTCTAGAAGCGGAACCATAAAGTGTGTCCCGACACAGTTCAGTTACTATCATGCGTTGGAATAGTGAGGAGCGTGCTTTTGCCGTTAATTCATGCTTTTCGAGCTGGTGTTCTGCAAGTGCGCCAAGACGAAAAACTGGAATACCTTGGCCCATTAGATCACTTGAAAACATTGAGACAGTGAGAGGCTTCAATGTTGCAATCACCACGGTGTTCTGCGCGCAAACATGCGCCTGCCATTGGACTTTCCAGTCGTTCTGTGAGCAGAATTCTTCATGGTGATTTTCATTTTCATCCTTACAAGATGGCAATTGCACAGGAACTTTCTGAACGTGACTTTAATTCTCGAATGATCGAGTGTTATCATACTCTCGGACATCATGTAATTCGTCAAACGATTTGGAACTCATTCTAAAATAATTGAAAAACTTCTACTCGTCATTTTTCAGATCCGAAAAATCACGAACAAATGCTCCTTTTAATGCACGGACATTCACATAAAATCCATCTTGCTACTTGCTACTTGCGTCGCGTCGAGAGACCACCGCACCATCAAAATACGCCCGTGTGCACCGGCGGTTACACTTCCCAGTGTGCTTCATCTCAATTAGGTGCGATTTGGAGTGGTCGGCCCACCCGCCCCGATTTGGCCCCTTGATTTTTTCGAAATCCGTGTTTGTGTGAATCGTCCGAGGACCCTACAGGATTTGAAGACCAACATCCAGTAATAAATTGGCAACGTAACGCCACGGGAACGTCACCTATCTGACTTGATCTACAAAACTGTAAAACGAAGCTTTAAGCATGCGCATACATTATTGTTATGTGCGGCAAGGACACATCCGTTCCAGTCTGGTGATAGGTTTATTTGAGTTTACAAAAGTGGACTGTATTTGATTTGGTAAATGAGTGACAATACAAATTTCTTGAACCTGTTGATGCGTTCTATCTCGACGACTTCCAGTGTTGGTCGCGGCGCTTCGATCTCCTGGTGTCTCCGTCCCCATTGGCTGGATTCAAAAACTGCCAGGCAGCGCTTGCGGAGTGGTCGTGGCTGGTACACAGTGGCGCGCGCGCCAAATGACCATTGGCGTAACATAGGCCGCCCCCTTGAAAGCCTCCAGGCTTTCAACACGATGAGATGCTGTCGTCGTCTGGAAGTGGAAGAGCACAAAGCTTGACTACTGGCCTTTTGTACTCTCCAGTTGAAGTTCTTAAGGTAACAGTTCGAGTGATGTGGTCTGGTCCGGGATGGAGTTCAGTTATTCTGCCGATTCTCCATTTCAATGGAGGGAGTCGGTCTTCTTTAACTAGCACCAGAGTGCCGATCTTGAGTCTTTGAATGAAGTTCTCCTTCCACTTGGTGTGATGCTGCAGATGTGAGACATATTCTTTGGACCACCTGGCCCAGAAGTGCTGCGTCATTTTCTGCAGTCGTTCGAAACGAGATAATTGGTTTCCAGGAACGGTTAACCAATCTTTGTCTGGTGTAGCCATTAATGATTCGCCGATGATGAAGTGTGCGGGTGTGAGAGGAGAAGGGTCTGAGGGGTCGTCTGATAAAGGGTAAAGAGGTCGAGAGTTCACACATGCTTCAATTTGAGTCAATACCGTATAGAACTCTTCAAAAGTTAATAGCGTTTCACCGACAGATCGTTTTAAATGATGCTTTACCGTTTTGACTGCGGCTTCCCATAGCCCCCCAAAGTGAGGTGATCTAGGTGGTATGAATGTCCATTTAATACCATCAATGGCTAATTTTTCCGAAATGGCATCAGTCCGCTGTAAAATGAATTGTTTTAGTTCTTTACTAGCACCCACGAACGTTGTTCCATTGTCTGAGATTACGTGAGAGCAAAAACCTCTGCGAGAAGTAAATCTTCTGAAAGCAGCGAGGAAACATTCAGTTGTGAGGTCACTAACGATTTCAATGTGAATTGCCTTAACTGCGAGACAAACAAATAAAGCAATGTAAGCCTTGGATAACTTGGAGTTACGCGTCTTGCTGAGCTTAATAGTGAATGGACCGGCAAAGTCGATTCCTACAGATAGGAATGGTCGCCCAGGAGTTACTCGAGATTTCGGCAAACTTCCCATCAAGTATCTTTCTTGATTAAGGCTAAAGCGAAAACAAGAGATACATTCCCGAATAATCTTTCGTACAAGCCTTTTGCCGCCGATAGGCCAAAATTTTTCTCTGATAGATGCTAGAAGACCTTGACATCCGATGTGTTTTAAACGTTGATGTTCATGACGAGCGATAATCACGGAGAAATGATTATTTTGGGGTAGGACGTATGGATGTTTTTTATCATAAGGATAATCAGATATTTGCAGACGACCGCCAACACGAATAAGTCCATGCGAGTCAACAAAGGGAGATAAACTAAGAAGACTGCTTTTAGAGCAAACTCTTCCGTCCTGGGTTAGCTGTTGAAGATCGATAGGAAAAGAAGATCTTTGAACTATCCTTATAAGGTATGTTAGAGCATTATCGAGTTCAATAGGTGTCAAGGGGCCAGTTAGCTGATGCTCCTTTGACAGAGTCTTGAGTTTGAACCTGCTGATATAGCCAAACACCCGAAGCAACTTAGAGAAAGAATAGAACTTGATAATTACAGAAGAGAGATGATTTTCTGTTGTCGAGAATAATGAAGTGATCTTTTCCTTGCGTTCAAGGAGATCAAAGCTATCGTTTATTGGGCTATCTTTAAAATGGGGCCAATTCGAATGTTCCCGTGACAGCCAAATAGGACCATGAAACCAAAGATTGGAGGTTAGAAAATCTGACGGAGATATTCCGCGCGACAACAAATCTGCTGGGATATCACTTGTATGGATATAGTTCCAGGAAACAGGATCAGATAAAGCTTGAATTTGAGAAACTCTGTTCGCAACAAACATTTTAAGAAGATGAGGTGATAATTTCAACCAGCATAATACAATTTTCGAGTCACACCAGTAACAGATTTGATCGAAATTCAGCTTCATGGATTCTTTGACAGTTGATACGAGTTTGACAAGGAGAAGAGCTGCGCATAGCTCGAGCCTGGGAATAGTAACCTGCTTAAGTGGAGCTACCCTAGTTTTTGCACAGAGAATCTTGGTATGACAATTTCCTTGAAAGTCTACGGATCGAATATACACAACTGCTCCGTATGCCTTTTCAGAAGCATCTGAAAATCCATGAAGTTCGATAGAAATTGGATTGTGACATATCACGTGTCTAGGAAATTGAACAGTGTTCAATTCAGAGAGCTTTGATCTATAATCAAGCCACGTTGTATAAAGCTGAGAGGGAATGCTTTCATCCCATGAAACTTTGAGTTTCCACAAGTCTTGCATTATTAGCTTGGAGGTGATAGTGACAGGCGATAGGAGACCTAATGGGTCGAAGATTTGCGCTATACATGATAAGATGTGACGCTTTGTGATTTTTTGAGAGGCACTAGTCTCAGCTATACAATAAGTGAGAAGGTCCAGCGTCGCATTCCAAAATATGCCCAAAGTTTTGTTTTGCTGATCTGCACCGATTTGTATAGTCTCAGAATTTGCGAGAATATCTTTGTGGTTTGAGGACCATTTTCTCAAAGGGAAACCATGTTGGTTGAGTAAATCTGTAAGCTCTGCCTTCAAGGTCAAAGCCTGATCCACCGTCTCTGTGCCCGTGAGTAGGTCATCTACGTAGAAGTCTTCAATAATTACACGACAAGTTGAAGGATAAGCTGTCTTATGAATCCGAGCTACTTCATGTAGCGAACGAATCGCAAGAAATGCCGCCGAGGCTGTTCCGTACGTGACAGTGTTAAGTTCAAATGCTTGCAAGTCTTTGTTCCGATCGAACCGCCATAAAATCTTTTGCAGATGGCGCTGATCTTCTCGAACCAGTACCTGCCGATACATTTTGGCGATGTCGGCACCAAGAACAATATTGTGCTTCCGAAAACGAAGTAGGATCGAGAAAAGATCATTTTGGATAGTAGGGCCGATCATCATAATGTCGTTGACCGAATAGCCCGAGGTGGACTTGGCGGACCCGTCAAAAACTACCCTTAGTTTAGTCGTAGTACTATCATTTTTCATGACACAATGATGCGGCATGAAAAACCCAGTGTTGTCTTGATTTCGGCACAATGACATGTGCCCGAGATCGATATATTCGCGGATGAATGCGTGATATTGATACTTCAAAGTAAGATTTCGTTCGAGTTTCTGTTCAAGATTAACAAATCGTTTTTCTGCTAGAGTTTTAGATTCGCCGAGCATTGACTCGGGAAGTATCAAGGGGATGGCAACTACAAAATGGCCGTCGATGTCTTGAACTGTTTCTTTGAAGTTTTGTTCGCACATTTCTTCGTCTTCAGAAAGAAATTTTTTGCTAGGAATCTCCTCTATTTCCCAAAACCTTGTTAGGGTTTTGTCTAAATTGTCTACGCTGAGGTTACAAACGACACGAGGTTGGCATGGTGAGGCTGGTACAGGGCCTGATATTATCCAGCCTAATTTTGTCTTTTGAAGGATTGGCTGATCGCGTCCGAGCTTGATCTGCCCAATGGATATAAGATCCCAAAATAAGTCTGCTCCTATAAGGAGATCGATATGGCTAGCTTTAAAAAAGTTAGGGTCTGCAAGAGTAATATTATGCGGTAAGCTTAGAGAGCTTTTGTCAAGACCAACATCTGGCACGTTTCCAGTGATAGAAGGTAGAATCAAACACGATAAAGTAATGTGAAAACCGCTAAATTTGGATCGGATTTTAACAAATGTTCTGTGTGAGACCTTGGTATCTGATTGACCAATTCCAGATATATCAAGGTTAATTTTGGATTTTTGCAACTGTAAGATCTCGCATAAATTTTGAGATATGAAATGATTAGTAGATCCACTGTCTAGTAAGACTCTACATTCATGTGTGTTACCAAATGCATCTGAAGCATCAACAATAGCCGTAGATAGTAAGATCTGAGACGATTTATTTGCATAAGAGTGATTGGAAGCTAAAGAAACAATGTTATTATTTCTCGCTAGATTTCTGGCTGGCCGGCTCACATCGGCAACGTCGCGTTCGAAGGCAATGCGTTCTCCGCGCTGGCTCGCGGCACCGCGCTCAGCTGTGGCTGTGGATGGCGTGGGCGCATCAGCGGCAACGGCGGCTGCGTTATGACGCCCATTGTACTGACGCCGAACGGCAGGCGGCGAAGGAGGCGCGTCGTGTCGTCGAGCTTCAGGTTTGCTAGGAAAGTGCAGTAAAGTATGATGAGGCTTGCTGCAATATTTACAGAACATGGACTTGCAATTATTCACGTTGTGTCCGAATCTCAGACAGTTGATACAAAGATTGAGGCGCCTTGTTTCATTAAAACGCTCTGTGGGGGCTAAGCGAATAAACTCTTGGCAAATATAGATTGAATGATCCCTTTTACAAAACGCGCATGACGTATTTTTGTTGTGTGTAGCTACAAATGCCTTGGGCTTGACGTGCTTATTGAACGATTGATTTTGTCTCGCTTTATCATGGTACATTTCGAAAGATTCCAGATTTCGACACTTGTTTTTTAGAAATTCTGAAAATTCCGTCATGGTAGGAAGTTCTTGCGCTTTGCTCCGCATTTCCCATTCGCGGCGAGTAGCGTTATCTAGCTTGGAGGAAATGAGGTAGATGAGTATCGAGTCCCAGTGCGAGACAGGTAGTTTCAAAACCTCCAAAGCTCGCAAGTGTTTCTGTAGGCTGTCTACTAAGTCCCGTAGGCTAGCATAGCCTTCTCGTTGGATGTTAGGTATGTCAAAAAGTGCTTTTATATGATTGTTGACTAAAAGTTGCTTATTTTCGAAGCGTTCCTCCAGTAAGTCCCAAGCTATATTATAATTTTGATTTGAAATTTCGAGAGACTTGATTGTGTTTGCGGCGCTACCTTTTAGTGACAATCTCAGATAATGAAACCTTTTTATGGGGCTTAGGGCATCATTGTTATGGATTAAAGAGCGAAAGGTATCTCGGAAAAATAGCCACTGATCGTATGATCCATCAAAATGTGGGATATTCAAGGCCGGAAGCTTGATAGCCTGCAAATCTGGCTGTACAAATTGTGGAGGGGAATGTAAAGCCGCATTGTTTCCTAGCGATGGGCGATGATCGTTCAAAAATTGCTTGGTTTTTGATATAATTTCATAAAAGGCATTTTCAAATTCAGCACGCGCTACTGAATGAACTGATTCAAAATTTTCCTCAAAATTTCCATCTGAATCTTCGATTTTTTCTTGAATTTTGTTAAAATTGTCTAACAGCAATTCGACAGAAGCTAGTCTACATTCCAGTTCTGTGATATCTGGATTAGATTTTTGACTGATGGTATCGAAATAATTATGAAATCGAGTAAGAGTACCCTTTATGGATGCAAGTTTTTTAGCATTACCATTAGGCATTATGCGTGAGTGAGCGAGAACGAGAATGAGGGTAAATTCAGGTAGGTAACCAAGCCGTAACGACACAATTTAACGTTAGCGACAAATGCGAAAATTTGAGTGCTCCAGAAATAACGAAACAATATGAAATACGAGAATTTTTAAGCGACAATGTGTGAGCTCAAGGAAAAACGACAGGAATTTGAGATATGGAACGCACCAACCTTTTGTGTGAGTGTGACGATCTTCGATGGCGATTCCCAATGATGGCGGCTTGTTGTAGGTCCCGTGGTCGCTGTGCTTCAGGCCGGCCAGGGCGATTTCAGGAGTTTCTGACTTCGATCCGGCTCGTAGGATCAAATGTTATGTGCGGCAAGGACACATCCGTTCCAGTCTGGTGATAGGTTTATTTGAGTTTACAAAAGTGGACTGTATTTGATTTGGTAAATGAGTGACAATACAAATTTCTTGAACCTGTTGATGCGTTCTATCTCGACGACTTCCAGTGTTGGTCGCGGCGCTTCGATCTCCTGGTGTCTCCGTCCCCATTGGCTGGATTCAAAAACTGCCAGGCAGCGCTTGCGGAGTGGTCGTGGCTGGTACACAGTGGCGCGCGCGCCAAATGACCATTGGCGTAACAATTATTAAAGACAAATGAAAATGTTTTGATTCATACAGTGGGTTTGATTAAGTTTTGAAAGCAGGAAATTAGGTTGCCGCAACCTGTAAAAAAGTTAAAGACAAACATTGTAGCCAGCAGTATGCCCCTGACTTGAAAAATACCAACTGGTGTAGACTCAAACGTACATTTTTTCAGTGAAAACCACTACATTTTATTGCAGATTAGGAAAGGCCCTTTTAAACAATAAACATATAAGGTTTCATAAGGTTTTATTTTCAAATAGATAGTTAATTATATACAGTCTATTGAAAAAAATACTCAAATTTTGTCAACTCGTACCTCCGCAATAGCTAAAGTACTAAATTTTTCGTCAGACATATTTTATGATCCCCTACTTTCACCCTCTATAATAACTTTTTCAGTTTTATTATAGTTTATGCAGGGCGATGAATTATTTTTCAAATGGAACATCTCATATTTTTGGATTCCCTTTCTCGCAAGCTTTCTTTTGATATAGCTTTCGTTCGTCCGACAACAGACGGACAATCATGGACAGCTATTTCATGCTATATGGCGAGTAGACTGTATCTACTATAACGCCAGAATTGGCGGCATTTAGCGGCCACAGTAGTGACTCGGCTGTCAATGCGAACTGACATGCAGTTCCAACTGACAGCTTGCTGTTTTCACTTTTGCAGTGGTCGATCCTGGTAATAGATGTTACTTTGTGCTGTCATATTTGGATAGGTTATATACTCCGAATCGATCAGAGTTGCTCAACTTTCATCCGTCGCCAATCGAGATCAAGCCTATACCATGCTGAGAGTTGCCAAATAGCACGAAACAACTGTCCATGTTTGGCCCTCTGTGGTTGGATGAACGAAAGCTATATTACAAGTTTCTATAGAAGTAACTCATTGTTTTATATTTTTGAAACAATGTATTCATAGTGCTAAATTTTAATTTGTTCTAGTCAAACCAAGGCGGCCAACAATCGGGTACCCCCGGCAATGCAGCCGCCAGCTGCAGCCTAGCCAAGCTACAGCAACTAACCAACGGCCTGGACATTCCTAACGCGTGCAATACTATGACCCCACCACCACCTCCATCAGCTATGACGCTGACTCCGCCTCCTCACCAACCGCATGCAAACATGACTCCCCCACCCCCTTCCCATCAGATGATCCAGAATCAATCGGCGGCTGCAGCCGCCGCGGCCGCTGCTGCCGTGCGAAATCTGACTCCGCCTTCCGGCACGCCGGGAATTCCCTCGAATCTGCAGCAACAGGTGCTCGGCTACTCGAAGTACTATCAGACGAATATGAACGTTAATCAGCTTAGTGGGACTGTCACACCGCCTATCGGGCAGAATTTGGTGAGGTGAGTGGTCTGTTGATTTATTTGGCATGGTTACTCTAACTACAGTCTTTTAAGAATTTCAACTGTCCATCAAATGTTTCTTTTTCTTTTAAAGATCTTTAAATTACAAGTGTACTTTATATCATTGTTCAGATTATTGAATTCCAGTAATCTCTTCTAAAGTAATAATTTGCTAGTTATATTACTATTGTAATTTTGTAAATGGAAATCTATATTTCCTCTTGTAAAATAATCATGGTAATGATTATTCAACTCTATGTAATGTTTTGAATGTTATGGCAAAAAATGCTTTTTTGTTTTAAATATTAAAATAAGAACCAAATATGATATGAATTTTTTTATATTTATCCACTGCAATTCTTGTAACATATATTTTTTATTTTGGTCTAACAATTCTCAGGCGGGGCCACAATGTGTGCATGTTGCATGCACATGTGTTCCCTCGCTAGAGTCCGTGTGGGGTCCCTCCTTCCCCTGTATGCATGGGTTATGCCTTAGCCTTCGTGGTGGTTCAAGAATAAAAAATATCGCACATGTAGTTCATCAACCGTATTTACCTTAGTTTTATACACTAAGGGTCGATTTCACCACCATTAAAATCTAACGGGGTCTTCCAATTAGGCGAAAGCTCTCCTAATATTATAATATATAAATATTATATATTTCTATTGAAATTTTGAACAAAATCGTGAAAAAGCTGTTGTTTTAAAAATAAGGGTTCATTCGAGATATAATACCATGGTCTTTGAGCTTTAGAATTAGGATAAGTTCCATAGAATTGCCAATTTCTATTTCATCAAAGATGGAAACTTATTTGAATGGACCTATCAATAATAGGTCGATTTTCTAGCTATTATATTTAATATGATGTTTTCACTATTTTTGACGACTGTTCATGCATGGCAATCTAGTTTTGTCTCTATATCACATACAGGGTGTTGTACATAATATGTACCTGTAGAAATGTAACATTTTTTTTTTATTTTGCAAAAAAGGTTATAAAACATTCCAACTGGTGCATCATCTTTTGTTACATCAAAAATAATTCATTATCAATTTATGATCTAAAAATCCACACCAAATGTAAACAAACAGCACATTCTGCATTCCTGGGTCCTAAAACGTCGATATTTGGAAATGTATCCGAATCCACCTATTATTCATCGTCCAGATATTATGTCAGAATCAAAAATACCTATTTACCAGAATATTTGAAAAACTTATTGTCTTTGTATTTGATTTGGAAGACATCTGGAATGTCAACTGAAGTTTTCTGCAGTGTTGCCACACCGCAAATAAAACGGAGTCGGTAAATAGTTTCGTTGAATTCGGTATAGGGAAAAATGCCATCCCAAGTGTTCAGTGGTGGATCAAGGACCGTTGAGTCACGTAGCACCGTCTATGAAAAAAGTTTATTATTGTATTGAGCGCGCACTCAACATGTTTTTTGAGGGCATAGTTATATATTACAGCTTGTACAATGTGCATACTGGTCGCTCTTTCAAAGTCCTTTGCAACCATTCTGGAAACTACTTTTTCGATTCTTGCTTATATGATTGTGAATATTTTTCTGTTTGGCCACTGAACTATGAACTCACCTCACATTTTAATTAAATATTTATTTTAAAAACAGACAGGGTTCGTTTTCTTTATTGCTTATCTGCTGATGCGGTAATGACGGTCATCTATCAGTCTGTACCTTTTGACACACAAAAATCAATTCAGGGCAAGAGGAGTAAGGGATGAAGATGTGCGTTCGTAGCCATAGGCATCCCAAATCTATGCCCCTCGTGTGCTCTCGACTGCCTGAGTGTGTATGCATATGTATGATTGATATGTGGCATAAAACTATGAAGACTACAAAAAATTAACTCAGCTTTATTTTTGCTTCCAGCTCTTTTTCGACAAGTATGGAAATATTTGAATTATTTTGAAAAATCGTGGAAAATGACGTCTTTGGTAAAAATACCGAAGAATCCGGTTCAAGTCCATGCATAGACAATCTGTAACTTGCAATATGAATTTATATTCTAATTCTATGCATATCCATTCATATTCGTCAATATTTCTTTTGAAGCTTCTATTTTTCATAATATTTTAGCAAAATGTAAAATAGTAAAGGCAACACTGCACACCACGTATGGTCTTATAAAGTATAGTAGATAATATTTTTCAATAGTTGGCAGAGTTTGCCCCACTGGGACCAAGCGTTGGCGGATCCCACAGAATTGTGTGTCACTGTCGATATGAGTTTTGAAATATCAGGGGAGAATCAGCTGTTATTCAAATAATGTCTAAAATATCCTGGATTGCGTACTTCCTGAAAAAAAAAAGAAAAATAGCGCAAATTCTAGTTTTTTTGCAGATTTTAGGTTTACTGGTAGCTCTACAATATACCTATATTTGGGTATTTCTTAATCGCTGTAAATATAGTGTGGATCCTGAAATGGTTTTGTGCAAATATCCATCTAAGATGCCATAATGATACTGATGAACGACAAGTGAATGAATGAATGTTTGGAAACGAGCGATATCTATGAAATTTTTGGTAGAGTCTTTGTCATCAAGTAGGTGTTTAATGGCTATCTGCACGAGGTTTATAGGAAGAAAATAATATAAACATGAATAAACAATCAACAATAGTAAAAATAACATGAACTTTATTAAAAAATCAAACACTTTTTTAAAAAATAACTGTTTGTTGATTTGACAATCCTGGTGAAATTCACCCTAATGCGGGTGCCACACGATGCTTTCAACGTTGTATACAACGTTGTTTACAACATTTGACACCCCATAATTAGCCAGTGTGTCTCCTACACGATGAGATGAACTTTTTAGTCTCGGACGTTCGACGCATGGTGACGTCAACGTCTATTATCGGCGTCGACTTGAACCTTTACAACTGAAGGAAAAATTATACAAAAAGAACGATGAAACAATTTTTTCGTGCGGCGAAAAATAATTTCAGATCTGTCTTCAGCGACCAAAACTTAAGTTTGTCAGAAGCCTCAGAAATGGCGACAGAGTTTGACCGTTTTTTGTTTGTTTTTCGACGATAACTCCGCCGCCACTGTACCGATTTTCAAAACCTGCAGAGCTTTTTCATGATTTTCATAGTAGTAACCTAGGGTCAAAATTTCATCAAAATCCTGATAGTACTTTCAGAGTTATCATTTATTTAATCGTTTTTGTTAGTTATGAAATGCAAGTCAGTATATTCCTCAACTAGTCTTGCATTGTAACAGGATAATATAATTAAACAACTGTAAGCACTTGATAATTAACTAAAATACATATCGCGAAACGTACAAAATATTAGCAATATGAAAAAAGTGTTGTTATGACAGCCTATGTTTTGTATGTATACTAATTTAATTCATTATCCTCAAAAGTGAGTTACGGAACATACATTATTATGAATAGGTAGGTATTCAAATAAAATACTTCCCACATACCACTACGTCACCACAATCACAGCAAACAAGTAAATAATGTTTTTCGCCGCTACTGGTTCTAACCCAAAACCATCAAACACATGACATCTCGTGTGGGAGCGTAACGAACCATGCTTCCAAAGTTGTAACATCGTTTGACGCGGGTCAAATTTACCGACAAGAGCCCGAACGTGCCATGTGACGAACGTTGGACACATGCAATCCGTCAGCGCGGTCCCACACGATTTGGCGAATTGCCATGTGTCCAACGTTGTAAGGCATTCGCCAGGTCGTGTGGGACCGGTTTAAATGTTTTATTTCGCCCCAAACGTATAAGTTGATAACCTACGACTGACAACTGTGTGATTAGTTGCCGGCGACGCAACGGTGGAATACTGATGAATCAAAACATACGTATATGGTATATGGAAAATGAAATTTTGTACATATCTCAGTCAACGCTATTATTGTTCTTGCACGTTATATCCTAAGGTTTATACATACCTCACGATTGGTCATCAATGTAATATTTTGAATTTCTTGCTTTTTCTTATTAATTTTGAATAGTGCTTTAAACGAATCATCAATTTGCAGGTCTGGCCGCAACAGCAGCAATGTGAGCGCTATGCAACATATGCAGCCATCTTCAAGCCGTGTTAGCCCGAACGTGGCTCTGAACCATCCGAACGTTATGTACAATATGAACATGAACAGCTACCGCATGGCGGCGTCGCAACAGGCGCCATCTGCCGCCGTCACGGGGTACATCACGAACACGGCGGCAGGGTTTACTAACAATCCCATGCAGATGATGAATATGGCGCAGACGCAGTATTTGCAGGATCCGGCCGCATTGCAACGCGCCCAGCAGAATCCTATGTATTATATCAACGGCATCATGCCGCCGTTGAATGGATCTATGAGACGATAGGTGAGTGATACATGTCAAAATCCATTTAGAAATACAGGGTGCGGCAGCATAACTTCCTTTCTTCAAACCATAATAAAACCCAGTGTATGAAGCAGAACATTTTTATTGGTCTTTTGATAATGTAGGCGCATGACTTAAGTTTTGTTTTGCATAGTTTTGTGGATCAAATCAGATAGGTGACGTCCCCCATTCTCCATACACCGAGAATTCGATGTCTGGCGTTTGTCATGACGCTTGCCAGCATAGCAGGCGTTATGTTGTAAATTTCCTCCTGGATGTTGGGTCCTTGGACGGTTCACATAAACTGGGATTTCAATGAACCCCATAGAAAAAAATCACAAGGGGCCAAATCGGGAGAATGAATCAGCCACTCCAGATCGCTCCTATTTGAGATGAGGCGCACTGGGAAGTGTTCCCTCAAAACAGACATTGATGCTCTTGAAGCTCAAAGGTGCCCTATGTCTAACTCATCTATCCATGGAAATAATTCTGTGACATGATTACATATCGGTCTTAAGTCACTGTCACTGCGACTTCATTTTCCTTAAAACACCTGGGACGAATAATTCCAGCTGAGGAAATTGCACACCACATTGTGACTTTAGGTTGACGGATCCACACAAATAAAAATGGGCTTCATACCTAAAATTCTTCACATAAATTCAAATGTGCCTAATGTGATATGATATAATTTTACAAAACATTTACACAATTTTTTGATTCACTTCATTTTGCAGATGACCTTAAGCAGTGTGATCAGTTATCATGATCTCTATCATATAACGAAACAACAATGGGAAAACCCAGAAATTGATCAGAAAAGCTTGCAATTTATGAATCGTTATATTTTATTCTTATAAAGGCAGATCTGACTCGTTACATAAAGTTTGACTGTGTCTACTTATAATGCAAAAATTTGAATGAATAGTTCCATGTGCAGTTTATGTTCAGCAACTACAAACTTGATTCACATTTTTGTTTCAGCTATTTGTCAATAATGCAGGTGCACTGTTTTGTCATACCAAGGTGTAACTTACGAGTCGCGTAAGACACATAGTTATTTGTTCGGCATTTTATCAAGGATGTTGTTTGATGTAATTTGAAAGTTGGTTTCTGTGTAAATGCCAAATTGTGAATTTGCGTCAGTGCGTCACTATTACCACTGTCTTCAAATAATATAGGCGAAACTGCATATGAAATTTGCCCCCAAAGGTATTCAAATCTGGATCAATAAAAATTAAGGTGTATTGGGTCAAATCACCTTAGCCAAATTTTCAGATCGGTAAGTCACCCCTAGAGGTCCCTATCCTCAAAAACGTGTTTTTTAGAAAATAATTAGAAACGTAGGATATACAATGTCCAACTTGAAAACGCGCAAAACATCTTGACTCGAGAATCTCAAAAATGAGAAAACCCGCATTTTCACTTATTTTTGTCGATTTTCCCTGGTTTCTCCTATTTTCGCAATTTTCAAACCAAGATTTTGACTGTAGAATCTGAAGGCATGGACAAAAATATATTTGCTGGGTTTTAACTAAGTAAGTACCGATATACAGTCGATTTTTCAGTTTGCGAAATTCTCATTACCTCATCGAAATTTAAAAACAATTTCAATTCTTTTTTCTAGAATGTATAGGTTTCACAAATCTATAAAAAATCGCTGTTATTTAGGACATAATGTGTAGCATCAGTTTTATTTTCAAATATTTTTGAACAAAATTGCGCCCGAAAAAATAGTTTTCGAGAAAACACGTTTTTGAGATTAGGGGGCCCTAGCGGTGACTCACCAGTCTGAAAATTTGCCTATGATGATTTGACCCTATATGCCTTAATTTGGATCGATCCAGATTTGGATAACTTTGGGGGCAATTTTCGCTGATAGGCTCTGCAAATGTTGCATTTGCATCGTTTCACATCTGTCTCTGTCCTTGACATGCCAAATAGGTTATAGTATTATCTAATTATGCCTTAAAATATAGAGACATTGCTCGTCAAAAATGTTATATATTTTCTAAATTATGTACCTAATAATAAATCATAGAAATGATCGATAATGGCTACTGAATACTGTCTTATATCTTGGTAATATCCTGAATCCTGTCTTTACTCTGTAATCAAGGATGTAAATTCTAGGATATTTAGTGAATATGTATGTTGACAGTGTTGATAGTCTCGACTTTTGACGGTCAGTGTGGTGTACTTAGTTATAAGAATAGGGCTGTGTCGGCTTTTAGGGTCTGTATAAAGTTTGTAAGATATATAATATTAATCTGTTTATATAATTATAGCTAGTATTCTAAACATCCAAAACTGTGGAACCTTTTTACTCACCCACATAAAAATGCATATAGATGCAATCGAAACAGAAAAAATATGTATTTATGAACATGTAAAAATAATGGTGTAAAATATGTGAATAAAAAAGGGACATGGTCATATATATTTATAGTTAAAACAGTTTTAACATATTATCTTGTTGTTTTTAATCCGGTTTTGTTTATTCATATTGTCTTTGCAATAGGTAAAGAAGTTAATCAAAAAATAGCTTCAAGTGTTTGACATTTTGCCACTGTTTTGAGTTTTGACTTATTGTACAGCACTGTGATTAGATTTGTTAGCGAAGAGTTTTGTTTTTACAAAGTACTATTGTAAATTATAATTTTTTTGTAACGTACACAATATTAAAGAATGTTAGTTTTGGATCTGTTTTTTTTAAGTACTTTTTTTTCTGTACATCCATCACTATCCCATCGACTGGTAACAATTTCACTGATGGTATCGTTCCTGACAAGACAGAAGGAAATAGCAGATCCAGTTAGGATTATGTTCGATCAGTTGTGACATGCTAACTTGTTACAGAGTCTTTTTATGGTCGACTAAAAAGTAACTAAATCTTGATAAAGTGAATTATTGCAGCATTTTTCTTGTTTAGCATAATAATTTTATAGCAGTTCTTAAAAACATCGACTTTCATTTTTATAACAAACCACTTCTCTCAGTCTAAAATTTTAAGCTAGAAAATCGTTGTAGGTCATTTTTTATAATTTCTGTCGACCGTAAATACGAAAGCTGAAGGTGACTTGGTGCAATTTCCGGTTCTCTGTTGTAGGAATTTTTCTGCGGCCCACTGCCCGATTCTGTGAATAGCCCACACGCTGAGTGGCGGATTTAGGCCCGTAATTCAGTCATTCCTACAATTGTAGGACGCCTTTATGGCCTACTTGATTTCGGTAATATCATGTCTTCTTCAATAAGGTACTTGTATGACCTGCTTTAGATTTCCGATATGCTGACATTAGATTAGTGCACGTTTCTGTAAATTTCTTTTTATAATAATGTATTACAGGGTGGCCAAGATAAGCAGCAGACTAGTAATCACACAATCTTACATCAAGCATTTGTTTGCAACGCCTACTTGAATATAATGAAGAAGTAGAAAAAAACACCTTTGTTTATAACTTCAAAACAAATATAACGTGATACATCGTTGAAGTCGTAGAAAAAGCTGCTATTAGATACAGTGTAGCACTTTTTAAAAAACACCATCATGTAGTGCCTAAATAGTGCCATTAGTTTTTTGACATTTCTTAAAATAGTCAGACAAAAATAAAAACGATTTGGCCAAACTTTAGTTTTTCCCAAATACCTCAGTATATGACTAATTTCTCAGTGTATGCAATGTACGCAATTTATTTAGAAAACATAGGATGTCAACCCTAACACACAAGTAGATGAGTATGCAAGGCTCACCTAGTTTCCTGCTCAGATATCCTTTTTTCCTCAGACGAGTTGGAAGTAGACGTAATTTCCACTTTGGAGACACTTGACACCCACGTCACAACACCAAGAAACCACTGAGAGACAATCGAGAACCCTATCGTGAACACCAGTACTGAAATAAAGTAGCTAAACCGAATAGGGCTCTGTACGGAGCTGTGAACTCGTAGACATTCCGCTGCGCCGACGGTTGCCGAGAGACTGAAGCGTGCGAGTGCTTTACCTCGCTGTGGCGATACGGTACGGCCGGGTGGTACAGCCTCGCCCCTTTCCAGCTGCCACTCCGCGCGTCTGCTCCCGAAGCGACTCGATGTTTACGTTGACCGGTAGCAGATGCGCGGAGTGGGAGCTGGAAAGAGGCGTGGCGGTACCACCCGGCCCTACCGTATCGCTGCAGCGAGGTACAGCACTCATTCGCTTCAGTCTCTCGGCAACCGTCGGCGCAGCGCGATGTCTAGGCGTTCACAGCTCCGTGTAGAGCTATATTCGGTTTAGCTACTTTTTTTCAGTAGTGATGTTCACTATAGGGTTCTCAATTGTCTCTCAGTATGGCTTTGGTGTTTAAGTGTTGTGGCGTGGGTGTCAAGTGTCTCCAAAGTGGAAATTAGGTCTGCCTCCAATTCTTCTGAGGGAAACAGGATATCTGCGCAACAAACGAGGTGAGCCTTGCATACTCATCTAGTTGTGTGTTAGGGTTCTCATCCTAAGTTTTTTTATATACACATTGCATACACTGAGAGATTAGTCATATACTGAGGTTTATCTCAATATTGCATACACTGAGAGATTAGTCATATACTGAGGTATCTCTCAATCGCCAGATCAATATTAGTCAAAAATCACTTCCAAAGCGACTCATTTTCACTACATAAGGTGACTAGCACTGCTGTCCTAGGAGGCCATAATTACTTGTTATAAAAAATACTGTAATTTTTGGAATCAACAGCCGACAAGTTTTGCCGCCGGTCAACTGGAGAAAAATGCTGACAGGTACTGTCATACAATTTTTCCATCTAGAAACCATTTGCAATTCAAAATTCCGCGTTTGGGATTGGTAGAAATTAAGACGAGGGAAATAGTCGTCATGAAAACCGCAGGATAAGTTTCAGATGCTACATTAACTCAAAAACTGCTGCAACGGCTTGACTTGTGTTTGAATGTTTATAGTGGCTATGTTGAAAAATAAACGATGTTTACATTTTAGTTTGTGATATAATTTACATCCATAAATAAAATTTCTCTGACTGGATTACAAAACGGTTCTTACTTAAAAAATCACCCTCGGATAAACCGTTACTTCAATCTTCAATGCTATTTTTTTTAGGTTAATAACTGTCGCATGCTGGTGATTTTCGCTTGTACAAATGAAGCCAGAATTATGGAACGACTTGATTTTTCTTCAGCTGATGCAATTAATTTTAGCAGTGACGGTTGTTGAGGTTTTCTAGGGTTTTCCTCGCCCAAGTGCGAATGCAGTCACTAAAAAACCATATTCCCCCACTAAATAGTATAGAAAATGGAAATCGTTCTTCTCCTATTATTAATGATCATGTAATTTTAGATCAAATACTTAATCAACATATTTATATAATAAAGAAATTGTTTATTTTCCAATTGTTGGAAGAAGTCCTCGTATTCAAAAAGTATTTTATCCTATAAAACTGGACATCTATAAAAGTGTTCAGAGACATTAACGTTCCGCCGCTAGACGCCAGGCGACGCAAAATGTAAATAACAGCTTTTTTTAGTTTGTCGGCAAATATGGCTACGCCTCATATTTTATATATCTCCATTGGTATCCCTCAATGTTTTATTCAAAGCTTCTTTTTTATATAACATTCTAGCAAAATAGCAGATGTAGCAAAATTGTCCGATGAGCTGGCCACGCAGCAATCTAGATGACAAGGTCAACTGCCAAAACGTATGTCTATCCTGGGGTAACGACGGAGCATATAGTACGTCAAGGCGCCAGTTTACCAATCTTTATTTGCAGTTTTTAAGCGGTGTGCAACGATTTCCAGAAAAATTTCGCTACGGATAGTCCTCTAGAGTCTAGTAGAGCATATTTCAATACTTGTCTTGCGTGGCCATGTTATCTTTACTCGGGCCGTCATAGTTTTTCTGATATTACTTCATGCTGCAACTCTATTTTTCTGTTTACCCTCTGTAACACCTTATTTTTGGTAATCTACATGACCATGGCATTTTGAGCACCCTGAAATAGCGATGGTCAATAATAGTAATTATGATCTTCACATACACACATTGTACATACTTGTAACTTGACACTCTACACAATCCACAGTCCCACAATAATTTGTGAAAAAGCATATCTGACATCGACAATACAATAATTGCACTTATCATACAATATTTCTTATCCATGGAGGAACCATCTCATAGTCTGTTTGAATGAATCAAGTGTATAATATGAATATGCGATGATTTGTTTTGTAATTTACATACCTTCATCAAGGTACAGCTTGGTTGTAAGCTGTCTAGCTTTTATATATAATTAAAACTTTCATTTGCATCAAATTGTTCATTTTCAGATCATTAGTACCAGATATGGGATTTGAAGATACCACAGCTTGTGGAATTTGTTCATTGTCGGGGATTATTATTGATTGATCAACATAATTTGCAAGTAAATAAATTACGCTTCTGCTTTCGATTCATGTGTCTAAAATTTCTTAAACGTCAAAACAACAACATAACCTCTAGCCAGAACTGTCAGCATACCGGGAAATCTAAAGCAGGACATACAAGTACCTTTCCGAAATAGACATGATATTAAGTACGGCCCTAAGGTGGCAAGTTGCTGCCTTTTAAAAAATTTATGGACTTTGCGTCTGATGGCATTCCGCTCAAAGTTATCAACTGTATCCAACAACTACGTGTAATGCAGCCTCTTGTGTGGCGGAGACAATTTTTTTTTTATATTCATTAACAATGTTGAAAATTGTCTGTTTTGTTGACCGTCTTTCAATATCATGAATTTTCATTTCAGGATGCTCTAAAATTTCGCCCTTATAAACGTTAAGGACAATTTTTTTTACCTGAATATTCAAATATGTTTTCGGGGAGAAGACATCACTGAAGAGGAAGCATGGCTGAAGGAAGCAGCGGGAGAAATATTCGCAGTTTCATCTGCTGTATCCGTAGACGACATGCTAACGTATAAACACAACTGCCGGCGATACCCTGAGCCTGAGTTCTATCCTGTCGAACCCTGCACTTGCTCGTAGTTTCATGGCCGAATGGCCAATAGCTATTGCAACGCTTAGGTGGCGACGTAGGGTATAGGCAGTTGAAAAATCGGATTAACAAAGTTTCTTTAAGCTCATAGCAGGCTTCTGCCTGCGCAACTGTTTCGGTATATAAAAAAAGGTTCAGTACGATTTGGTGGAGAATAAAAACATCTGTGTTAAGTATAACTTCAACAAAACACTTTTATTCCAGTATGGCTTGATAAAAAACTGTAAGTACATAAACCCGATGTCTGAAGGATATAAAGCTATGCTTGGAAGTTTGCTTTTCCCTCGAATGTGCAACCACTTCGTTGGATGATTTGAGATGCCGTCCATATTGCGCACTTCACGCAGATCTCCAGATCCTTACCTGTAAAGAATTAATACAATTTTCTTTAAATGTTCAGTGTCTTTCATTTACATTGAGAGAGGTGATTGCCACCGAGTTTCATAAAATAGATACATGCTCAATAGTATATGTTTGCTTTCCGTCTCTGTGAGCATAACGAACCCTATACAACCTAGATTCATGGTTTTTAGAAATCATCAGAAGCCGTTTAGTTTAACATGGTAAACACTAAGTGCTCCTTTGAGTGACGAGACCCCTATGTGGTGAGAGACTCATGTCCGTTCCATCGAAGCGGACTGACTATCAGAGTTGCCCTGAAACCTACTCAAATCTTTTACCTTGTATATACTGAGATAAAAATCCTCCAACAAAAGCATCTCCGGCACCGTTCGTGTCGACAATTTTTTCTGCCGGTATTTCGTGTATAGGAAATTCGGTGATCTCTCCATCTTTTGCTAGAATCACAGGATGTATTCCTTGAGTTATTATTGCTATCCTTGAACGATTTTCGTTTTGCTTCGACAGTTTGCAGATCTTAAGTGCTATTTCTTTGAGGTCTTTGGTGTTCCAGTTCTGACATGAGGCAAAGGTCTCTGCTTCCTAAAAATAAACATAAATAGAAGTGGCTTGCATTTAAGAAACATGTTGGTGGAAAATAGAAGATATACAGTGCGTTTCAATTACGTAATTGACGCATGGATACTATACCGGGTGTTTCAAATTCGATTCTCACCATTGAGATCTCGGAAACGGTAAGAGAAACAAAGTCGGTTAAATGGGGGCCAAATTTATCTAACTAAGTAAAATGGCACGGTTTCTCAATGAGGAAGTTTCCTATTTTTTGAAACACACTCAAAACAATAGTCTACGTAAAGTGAACTACAGGAAACAAGTTCCTTATTTGGAGAGTTATCTTTTTGGAGAGCAAGACTGGGTGATGACGTCACATGACACTAGCTACCATCTCTACCACAAAACGATGTGTCCGCCGTGCACGCTTCGCGCCATTTACAAACGTTTCTCTGCTCCGTATTTACGATTTACAGTAAAAAATTGGTCCTAACCTAACCAAAAGTGCAAAAAATTGTATAATCGTCACGTTTTGAAATAATAAGCTGTATTGAGACGTGACAAAAAGGATTGTGAAGTCGGAGGTATGTATAGTTATTATGATATTGCATTTTATTAACCGCCAATCGACACATAACACTATACGACAACAATATGTAATTGATATTTTTTTAGTAAGTAGGTAGTTAATTCAAAAAGACTTGGAAAAAAGCCCAGAATCCGCTCTATTTCGAATAGTAGCATATTTATCAGACACCCAGTTAAGAAATATTTTGGCTGCAGCTGACTGCAAGTATGGCAATTATGATACATTATACAACAATTCACAAATTATATCTTGAAAACAGCCAGAGGGAAAATATCTAAAACTCAAATTTGAGCTCAATCAAACTATTTTTTGCAAAGATGTACATCATACATTTTATCAGAGATCACTATAACTAAGTCACTAAGATTAGTAGAATCGGTACACAGAAAGCCTTCTTCCATTTTATTTATTGTATATCCGTAATATCACACAGGAGTCTATGCAAGATACAACTATATTGCGACTGGTCAGATTGAGCGCTAGGGATGAATACGATATGCAAGGTCGTCCGGCGACCTACGCAGAAAATGTCATAACTTCATTGAATTTTAGGTTATAGGAATAATTCTTCCAGCAAGTCTAACTAGCAGTAATTTCAAGTATAGAAAACTTCTTAATCGACCGACGGTGACAAGAGGGATGTTAAAATGTGAACATCCCTATTTCTAATAGAAATATGCCACTTTATATCCCTTGAGAATCCGGGTGGACCTTAAAATTTAATTAACGCGCATGGTTTTCTGATCAATATTGGGGATTTTTATGGTTTGATCCCCATTTATACAAAAAGTGTGAAAAACTCTTCCGTGTGTCTATGTTTTGTATAATGTTAAAAGCACACACGTGTATCTTTGCAGATGAGAAGGTTGCAGTGGGAGCCTCTATGTATTTTAGTAGCTTTGGCATCATCGCATTTGCGCTAAACAACATATTCATGCTTATTCTACGATTTTTAGACCATGAAAATTACAGCTCATTTCAATTATCAATTCATAGCTCCACATGTTGTTACTCACAGTTGAAGACAATAGTCCTATTGTTTCATCAACTTTTTGTCAGGAAGAAATTTTCCAACATTTACTAATGTGAATAAATTCTTAATGAACGCGACTCATATGTACCTATAGTAATTGTGTAACTTTTATACTCGTAAACAGACATAATACCGATTCAAACACTGTAATCATAATTACACACGTTTTATAATGAAGTTGTATACATTATTAAAACCGTGAAGGATGCGATAACGTATAATTATGCTTAGAATGTTTATTATTTGCTCATTCCGTATCGCGAAAATGCTTAGGTACATTTAACATCTGCTATCATCTCAAATTGCTATAGAAGGTCAATGCGAATCAATCATGCAATTGAGACTGCATACTTTGTATTATCAATTTGAAATATTGAAAATAAATTCGTGATAATATCCACGTAGCCAGTAAGTTGGTCCGCTTTTTTAATCAGGACAATGGAGATTACCGGTTTGAGGAAAAATAAGTCGAGCAATTTATTATAAAATGATTTCGGTTTTTTTTACCAATGACGTCAAATGGAAGTAAGGATTCTAGTTTATGTATCTCCAAGGGTGGCGGACACCAACCAAGAGTATTAAAAACAAAATTAGCATGTTGCTAAATATATAGGAAATAGGTACTTCCAAGCATACCTTGCCACCCACACCCTGGCAAGATTCGGTTTGAAGTTGCGTAGTCGTTCTACTGACCAGTAGATAACTAAACAAAAAAAAATAAAAAGAAACACGGTTTTTCGCACCTTAGTTAAGTAAATTGAATATTTTCTCGATGTTTGTTATAGAATTAGGCATTCTGTAATTAGTTTATTGTCTTCAAATAATTTTTTAAGAAAATTTTTGTACAGCAAGAACAAATATCAATGATTTATTTTGACTGACCTGTTACTAACCTATAAAGAGAAAAAATAGGTTTTTGTAGCTAACCTCAATCAACTCAATGGACATGTTGATGTATACCCTATTTCACGAGTATCCATCACGGTAGAATGACAGCTGATTATATAGTAATATCTCAAAATTCCCCATTGTTTCGATTTTATGTAGGCTACAGATTGATTTTGTGCTTGCTAGCGGCGCTTTTACTTAGAAAAGTTCATTTGCATACAAAATCCAAAACGCTACAAACACATTTTATTAGATTTACACCCGATTCATTATTGCCAACGTCGCAGACTAGACAGCAGACGTCAAAGTGTGATGGATACTCGTAAAATAGGGTATGGTGTAAAAAATATATATTTTTTTTCAATTACATCTCTCAGGTAAGTAGTGACACATATCAATCTATTGTATCAGGTTTCAACCATGCTTCGAGTACCTAGCAACCAAATGCTCCTTTCTGATTCATCGAATTTACGACTTCTTTTCGATTGGTGGAATTTGCGCCTAGGTCACAAATTTTGTTGCCGGGCCCAAATGAAAAAATAGGTATTTTTAGCTAAAGCAGGTGATATATGAATTATTTCTTTATTTAAAGTGAGAATAAGAGGCCCACTCAACCCAAATCGTATAATGTTTCTCTAGTTTAGGAGACATTTTACAAGAAATTGACCATATTCATCAGATCAATTACATCAAAAACGCCTTCTCATTGGTCGATTTTGGGCTATAGGCGTAAATATTGATTCCCCTGCATCAATCGTAAAGACAATCCTAAGTATTCCATATACGAATGTAGTCTATCAATGCAGCATTCAGTATTCAAAATACCATCACATCATTCATATACAAAACCCCTAAAGTCGCCAATCTCATGCATTATCAGCAACATAGTCTAGTTTTTAATTCACCTCGTTGGTGCATGCCTGGTTTTTCAACTTCACTTCTAACTGGAAGTTAAACCGCAAGAAGTGTTTTCAATATCAGGTTTGCACCAATCGATAGTTAACTTCAACCAGAGGAGCAGGTATTGGTGAAATAGAAACTTATAGTTACAATGTCTAAGATATTTTGCTTGATAGTGTCACCGATGATGCCAGACACGAATATCTAATGCACAGAACAGATAGTTCAGACGTAGAAGCGACGTTGCTGCATCAAAGATTACAAGTTAGTTGACTAGAACTTGAAAAAAAATTTGTAGTGTAACTTATAGTAATAGTCAGTGATCTTGAAAGTTGACTTGCAAATTAAAAAACAGGACCTCATACAGTTTCTTCCACTTGACCAAAGTTGTATATATTTTCAGATCTATAAGACATTCTGGAAGTAGGAGCAGAGTCCAAAAGCCCCTAGTGGATATGCTAAGGAATTCAGAGGCTGTGATATACAACATACCATATACACACTTAAACTTATCATCTACAATTTTAGCATGTAACAATTTTTGTTATCTGACTTTCTTTTGCATACAAATCTATAAGCTAGTACTTTCTGCACTTTTAATATAAAATTTCTGAATTCAGTTTTCCAATGTTCACTTAAAATTGCTATGTATAGCCAATAAAAAAATATATGAATATCAGTCAATCTTACCGTTTCATTTCCAAATATGACATCTACATATGGAATTGCTTGCATTAATGGCTCAACAAAAAATTCACATATAAATGGGGCACTCAAGTTCATTGCAAATGGTTTATCATGTGCCAGCGCAAGCTTAGCCACCTCCATTATTGATTCTGGACAAACTGTTAAGAAAAAACCCTGAAACAAAAAAGTGCAATGAATAAAAAACTATATTCAAATTTTGGTAGTTTCAGAAAGGGACATGTTATGACCCTATTATAATGTTTATTTTGATACTTTGTTTTATGAGAAACTGTGCTTCTAGTCAAGCCATGCTATAGCATAAAAATGGAATAGCTTCCTGAAATATAATAATAATTGAATGTTAACTTTACTCACATATTGACAGAATGTGACTATACTTTCATGTTCAACTGTCACCATCAGACAATAAGAAATCTATTATATGACGCTAGAAATAATTATGGTACAGGTTTGGTCATTTGGTGCAAGGTCTTGCATTAAGTGAGTATTCTAATTTCTTGTTCATCGACAAATATAAAACACTTAAGACATACTTTTTGAACAAAATGATCTTCAAATAACTGACCAACTGAGGAATCAATATAATCATATTTTATACTTACTGAAATATAGTAATAATGAGCAGAATCTAAGATCTTCTTATTCTCAGGTTTTCTTATATGATCTACGGTGAAACAGTTTGCGCTTCCTAGGCTGGCACACAGTGATCTGTGATGTCCAGTGATTAGTACTGCACATGTGCCTGTGGGGTGTTCACTGTCATACTGATACTGCACATTTACCCCATCTGAAGTGGCTTTATCATATAAGATTTTTGAATACTTATCTACCCCAACACAACCAAAAAATGTAGTTACTTTTGGTTTTTCAAGGAGCCACTGTGCTACACGTAGAGTATTTTGAACACTACCACCAGCAATATAATCTACTTGGTGATTTTCTGTTAGGTCTTTGTACAGATTTTTGTGTTTGTCACTAGCTAAAATAGCATCATTCTCCTTCATATCATATTTGGCTAGAAAATCCTTGTCAACATTTGCTGATATATCCAACAACGGGTTTCCCAGCCCAACAAGCACGTTTTCCCTGAAATAAATAGAATAAGCATATAAATACTCCTATCTTGTGCTTCTATCCTTAGTTTATAGCATTTTACAAAGAATTTTCCCTTCAAATCTTAAAAACATTTCAACAATAAGATATTACCTCAGATTCATTTTATCACCCATGGTTGAAAATAGATCTTTTCGAATGAAAATCTCAGAAAAAACTCCACAAATTGTTCATAAATTGTTAATGCAGAAACCAATGCAAAAAATTTGCTTTTTTGAGGTTAGAACAACAACACGCTGCAGGGGTTCTGATAACGTTCACATTTAATGGGGGACTGATCAAGCGCATTGCGGAAAAATTATATCACATATTACACAAATGATAATTCCAATGTATAGAAATTAAAAATAAAATAATTATTACTTTTATAAATAAAAAATCTCTTTCGCCATCTATCAAAATAAATATGAAACGTTCACTTTAGCTGTTTTGCGCTATCTATTATAATAGTGCCGAAAGTAGAGGCCTAATTGAAATAGCAATCTGTATGCGTTATTAGGAATGCGCCATCTATTGGGGACGGGTTGATTTTTCCAGTTTCTGAACTCCAGACACCAATTCTCTTCATGATTTTCAATGAAATTCCGTTATTTCCGGGAAGAGGTCGTTAGTGAATTAACCATTTTTCTAATCCTATTTTATATCTTTCTTTTTTACAATTTTAGTTAACAAAATTGATAAGCTATCCGATTAATATCATCAGCTAACCTCTATTTAGATTATATGAGCATAACAGCCTGAGGTGAGATGTTGCAGAATCAAAGTACCTAGGTATATTTTAGCATTGAGTATTCAAAAAGTTTTAATGTTTTTAATTTTTCTTGGAAAATCAGCCACGTCCACCTGGATTTTTGCTTGATTTGGCACCATACCAATATAGAAAACATTTTTAATTAATAAAAAATTGTGGAGGAGCTGGGATTTGAACCCAGGACTTTCAGCATGCGAAGCAGACACTCTACCACTGAGTTACACCCCCTACGTGTTTTCAGGGTTCTTGAGCGTGTTTTACAGAAGATGATATTGTCTTATGCCGACCCAGTGGCGTAGTCCGTTCAAGCTTTGGGTTTTAGGTACGATTGGACCTTATGTACTTCAGAGGCTACGGGGTTAGCGCGAGTGATCTGTAGTTACGCCACGGCAAACCCCCCTACTATCTTATAATATTGAATAATGGTGGTGAGCACCAACCAACGGAATCAATGAGAATATTATGAAGCTTGAAAAAAGGGTAATGACAAAGAAATAGAGACAGAACAAAATCATCGGGCATGCTTCACGAGCAATCCAAGCATGATATTTTTCAATTTTGTTACATATTATGTTAAAATATAGCTTTCATTCTGCTATTAAGCTGGTTGTGTTTTAAACAACGCAACGTAAGTTAAAGATCAAAACATCTAAAATATTGGCAATCTTATTTTTCACAGAAGTAACTACTCTATCGAGTTTATTGAGAAAGCAAACGATTTTTAAGTTGTTTTAAAAAGTTCATTGGAATAAGTTTTTTGCAATTTGAAAAGGCATATTTGGATCTTTCTTCAAAAATCCCCGGCGATTTTGGCCTGCCTCTAATTTTTTCATTGGCAAATGTTGGATTAGGTCGACTATAGCTTCAGTGTCAAAAATATCACCTCAGTTTCGTATATGGAACTACTAGAGTCGCCAATTTTACACATTTTCAGCAGCATTACCCTTGAAGTGTAACAGGTATTTGCGATTTGGTATTGGTGGATTTATGTAAAAATGGATACAAAAATTAAATTCATAACATCTCAATGAAATTTCATACAATCACAACTTGATCAAGATACATCAAAAATGCTTATTTTTGAACATCTCAATTAGTACTATTTTTGGCGTAGTAGGAGACAAATTAGTTATATACAGGGTGTTTCAGTTTATTGTTGCATAACTTTAAGATTCGATAGAACTTTTAAAATTAATGCATAATGTCTATATAAATATGAGTCGAAAAATGCGTGGGTTCCGAAATTTACTTTCTAAAATAGTTTTTTTTTTAAATATATCGAACAATATTTGATGTATAACAGTGAAAATTGGTATACAAGGGTTTTTTGGTACGTCAAAACAAACCATGGGCATAGTTTTACTGTAGCCTCTAGAGGGCGCTCTCTACTGTACCTGTAGTGTATTAAAATGACCGAAAAATTTTTCTAAGTGCAATTTTTTGCTTTTTGAATAAAAAACTGATTCTTCGCGCTTTTCAACATAAAAAAGCTCTCTTGTGAATTTTCGTTATAGTTAGCCGTTTTTGAGATATTTCGATTTTTAAGGTTCGATGCATTTTTAATTATTTATGGGAAAATAATATTTTTTTTACATTTTCGATTTGGGCATTACAAGTAATTAAGATGATCGTTTAGATTGTGTTTTTAAACACAGCAATAATTCCTAACTCCAAATAAACACCAAAAAACAGAATATTAATTTGTTTAATTTTCCAATATTATTTTTAACAAATTAAATTAATTATTTACAAATAAAATGCTATTGGATAGTTAGGACAAACATATAAAATCTAAAGTAGTTGCTCGAAATGTAAACCCAATTGTTCAATACACAATTCACATCTACGAATGATCGAACGTGGTATAGCATTATTCATATAAGGCCTTATTTCATCACATGGATCCCTGATTCTGTCTATTAGCATATCTCTTGTGTTTACGGGAGTCTGGTACACTTTTTCTTTTAGAAATCCCCACACAAAGAAATCTAATGGATTTAGGTCAGGGGATCGTGGAGGCCAGGCGACTGGTCCTCCACGGCCGATCCATCTATCTTTCTGGATAATTTTCGTCCAGCCAGTTTCTAACTATCCTCGAATAATGAGCTGGACAACCATCAAGCTGGAACCAGGCCAATCTTCTTAAATCTAACATAACATCATCCCACATATTTGCATGTTCAGCCTTTAAAAATTCCAAGAAGGTCGCAGCATTTAACCTTGCAGGCAAAAGGTAGGGTCCAAATAGTCTATTACGGTAGATACCAATCCACACGTTCACACTAAGTTCATGCTGAAAATTTCTTTCTCGAACAGCATGCGGATTTTCATGCGACCAAATATGTTGATTATGAAAATTTACCACTCCACGTCTAGTGAAGCATGACTCATCGGTCCATAAAACGTTACTTAAAAACTCCCTATTATTATCAGTTCTATCAAGAATCCGCTGATAAAATGTGATTCTTCGTTCTCCGTCCCCTGGCTGTAGTCCTTGCACAGGTTGCAAATGGTAAGGACGTCTATGGTCATTTCTAAGAACACGGTGAACATGGCTTGCTGAAATTTCCAAGGCACCAGAAACTCTCCTAACACTTGTGGTCGGATCTCTATCAAACTCACGCAGAATCATACGGGTAAATCTGCGCTGACGGACATTTATGTTTTGATCCCTTTGGAGATTTCCAAAACCATTTTCAGTTATTTGGCGATGCACTCTTACAAATACTGAGCGAGTTGGATGTCGTCTGTTTGGAAATCTTCGTGCGTATTCTCTGGCTGCTTCTGCTGCGTTTCCATTTACAAAGCCATACACAAAATCTAACAATCCGCCAACTCTTGATTGGAGAATAAAAATGGCATTTTTATAAAACTTACAAAAAAAAAACAGGTAAAAGAAACTAAATTTCTTGCATTCACAATTGCAAAAAAACGTTTCAGGTTTCAACAGACAACAAAACTACCTGTCAACTAATTGACGTTTAACCTTATTCTGCTTTCATTTTCAAAAATATTTGCAGGCACAGCCTACTTCTAAAAATTATCGAGATACTGACTTTTTAACGTTATTTTATCATAAATAAAATTAAAAATGCATCGAACCTTAAAAATTGAAATATCTCAAAAACGGCTAACTATAACGAAAATTCACAAGAGAGCTTTTTTATGTTGAAAAGCGCGAAGAATCAGTTTTTTTATTCAAAAAGCAAAAAATTGCACTAAGAAAAAATTTTCGGTCATTTTAATACACTACAAGTACAGTAGAAAGCTCCCTCTAGCGGCTACAGTAAAACTATGCCCATGGTTCGTTTTGTCGTACCAAAAAACCCTTGTATACCAATTTTCACTGTTATACATCAAATATTGTTGGAAATATTTAAAAAAAACTATTTTAGAAAGCAAATTTAAACACCCTGTATTTCGGAAGCCACGCATTTTTCCACCCATGTTTATATAGACTTCATGCATTAATTTTAAAAGTTCTATCGAATCTTAAGGTTATGCAACAATAAACTGAAACACCCTGTATATATAAATTTTAAAATTTCCAAGTTCAGCAGCGACGTTCTAAAATTTTAACAGTCGAAATCAACTATATTTTGTCCCTTGAATTTTAATATAAAACCACGAAATAGTTATGGCTAAATTAGCCGCCTTCATACTGCAAAAAAGACATTTCAACAAAAACAAAAAGATGTCAATTTTAAAAACCTTTTCTTTGAAAGTTATTCAAAGGATTAAGTTGTGCCCATGTACATTTTTTATCAAGATATCTAAAATAACATACTAAATTTTCTCAAAAATTAACCAAATCTCGAAATCTTATAGGAAGAAAATGTGGGGTCCTTTTAGGTGCATTATAGTGCTTTACAGTGACCCAGCTGAGAGTAACTCAGCAGTGCTCAGCACCTATATTGTTCCACTGCATTTTATATTCATTCACATAAATACACTTTCTAGAGTAGTTCGGGAGAATATCTTTCTCAAACAAAAGGCCACTGGAAAGCAGCTTATGTGTATTCAATACTACTTTATACTTAATTAGTAAGTTTTTTTTTCAGAGGAGTGGGTTTGCAAGATGCAGAAGAGGCTTAGAATGTTTCTTAATGATATTTTTCTAGCAAATTAAACCATTATATCTAGAATGAATTTTCTTTATAAATCCAATTTTATAAAAGCATTCCTACACATTTTGCTAAAATAACCAGTGAAGAATTTTCTTTATACACTAAAAATATGTATCGGATTGACGCTTGAAAATCTGTTGCTTCATATAATATAAATACATATTTAGGAAAAATATTAGATAGGTATTTCATCAAAACATAAAATTGATATTTAAAAATCTTTTCTTATATATTTTCTAAATATTTGAAGGCTTGAAGTAAATAATGTGCCATAAAATTGGTTTTTTATTTTATACTTGTAAAATGTTCTAGGTCCATAACCAACAACATAGATAAGGCGCTAAGTGCCATGGCTATTATATTGTACTGGAAAAATCACAACAGAGTGCGCGCTTATCAATCGCCATAACGCCGCCAGTAAAAAATGACAATAAATACAACCTTCTTTATTTATAAAAATAAATTATATAAATATAAATGTTATTGTTTTTATGGATTTATTTAGTTTCCAAGCGGTATTTCGATGAGATTAATCAAAAATCTCTAGTGTCGGGTCATTCTTTTATAAGCTGCGACAGGGATTTCGCCCAAATTGAAAAGCGAAAAAGGCAAGAGAAATGCGAGGATTTGGTGAGCATGATGATAGCAGCAGTGAAAAAAACACCATTTCTTGTTAATCATGAACCGTGACGACTTCTTCGATTTTAAAGTTGCTTCTGAAAGTTCAATCAATACATCCAAGCTTCAAATTTCGAAA